CACTTTAAAAGCGTCCGACATAGTTGATCCTCGAATAACCTACATTTTTCAAATCTTCTAAGAAATTAAGAGCTGATTCATGAAGTCAAAAAAGATTGATAAAAAAAATGCAAAAAGAAAAAAAAAGTCCGATGAATGTATTTGTAATGTCTTGGCACGTAAAAGTAAACTTTTACCTTTCAAAAAAAAAAAAATTTCCCTACTTCTCTCAATAAAAACACTCAAAACATCCGAAAAACAACACTTAAAGTAGCCGAAGCGCCTCAGGAAAAAAGGGGCGTGGCCGGGGCCGCTGATTGGCTGACGAGCTGAGGAGGCAATTCACGGGGTCTTTATCGATTTTATGTGGCAGTTTTATGTACAAATGTTGAATAGCTAAGAGAATTATGTGGTCTTTAATGGGATCAGCCGTTGAGACCAGAGAAAAGAGGTCAAATCCAGGAAAAAAAGGCTTCAAAATTAAAAAAATATTCTTGAAACAATATCAAATAATCAAAGTTTCATTTGTATATAACTATTCTAAAATTAATTACTTCAAGATTTATTTTTTTACAAAATTTCAAATTTCTTGTAAATAACTTATTTCTTAACCAAAGGACGTACTAGTAGCCTTTCAAAGAAATTTTCCCTAGAGTGATTACTTCAGAACAAGGTTACTTATACTCTTAAAAACCGAGCAAAGCGATTTCCTCAAAGTCAAGTTTGCTTCAATGAAAAAAACTGAATCAAAACCATTTATTTTCGTCTTGACGGGTTCGAAATTCTAATTTTTTTTTTTCTTATAATGCTCCAACTCTCAAAAAATTAACGGATCTTAAATTTCAAGAAGATTATCTCGTCATTACGTTAGCTCCACCGGAAATGCTTCAAATCTAAAAAATCTAGTAGCTTCCAAAATGTACTGAGAAGTTAAATTTTAAGTATCCCAGTCATTTTTTTCTGTATTCTTTTCTCTCTGAGCTTACTTACGTGTCATTTAGGAGCTTTAAACTCTAAGGCGATAATCTCATCGTTAAATTAGCTCCACTGAAAACGCTTCAAATTAAAAAAAAAGTGAACTTCAGATTCAACCGGAAGCTTCAATTCTAAACATCCCAGTCATTTTTTTTTTGGTAATCTTTTCTCTCTGAGCTCATTTACGTGTCCTTTACGGATCTTAAACTTCAGGGCTATAACCTCAACGGTAAATTAGCTCCACTGAAAATCTTCAAATCTTAAGAATCTAGTAGCTTCCAGAATGTACCGAAAAGTTAAACTTTAAACATATCAGTCATTTTTTTGTATTATTTTCTCTCTGAGCTCATTTACGTGTCATTCACGGACCTCAAACTCCGAGGCGATAATCTCAACGTTAAATTAGCTCCACTGAAAATCTTCAAATCTTAAGAATCTAGTAGCTTCCAGAATGTACCGAAAAGTTAAACTTTAAACATATCAGTCATTTTTTTCTGTATTATTTTCTCTCTGAGCTCATTTACGTGTCATTCATGGACCTCAAACTCCAAGGCGATAATCTCAACGGTAAATTAGCTCCACCGAGAATTTTCAAATCTCAAAAATCAAGTAACTTCCCGAGTGAACCGAAAAATTCAATTTTTAAACTTCCCAGTCATTTTTTCCTGTATTCTTTTCTCTCTGAGCTCATTTACGTGTCATTTACGGATCTTAGACTTCAAGGCGATAATCTCAATGTTAAATTAGCTCCACCGAGAATCTTCAATCTAAAAAATCAAGTAACTTCCCGAGTGAACCGAAAAATTCAATTTTTAAACTTCCCAGTCATTTTTTCCTGTATTCTTTTCTCTCTGAGCTCATTTACGTGTCATTTACGGATCTTAGACTTCAAGGCGATAATCTCAATGTTAAATTAGCTCCACCGAGAATTTTCAAATCTCAAAAATCAAGTAACTTCCCGAGTGAACCGAAAAATTCAATTTTTAAACTTCCCAGTCATTTTTTCCTGTATTCTTTTCTCTCTGAGCTCATTTACGTGTCATTTACGGATCTTAGACTTCAAGGCGATAATCTCAATGTTAAATTAGCTCCACCGAGAATCTTCAATCTAAAAAATCAAGTAACTTCCCGAGTGAACCGAAAAATTCAATTTTTAAACTTCCCAGTCATTTTTTTCTGTTTTCTTTTCTCTCTGAGCTCCTTTACGTGTCATTTACGGATCTTAAACTCCAAGGCGATAATCTCAATGTTAAATTAGCTCGACTGAGAATCTTCAAATCTCAAAAATCAAGTTACTTCCCAAGTGAACCGAAAAATTCAATTTCAGCCTCCTAATAAGTTTTCTGGCTTATTTCCGCTTGCGTGTCATTTACGGACCTCAAAATCCAAGGCGATAATCTCAACGTTAAATTAGCTCCACTGAGCAACCGATTGCAACGTGTCGAGTGTGTGGTGTGCAAATGGTCGCTGAAAAGGGCCCATAAAGAAGTTTGATGGCGGCGTTTGGCCATCCATTGGCTGCTGTAATTCTCCCCATTCTTCCTGCCCTCAAGTTTTTATGGACCTATGATTCGCCCTGGAGCGCATTACACGTGATTTGCTGCGGCTGTTGTTGTCGAATCGCAAAATTTCCACCACCTCGTTAAAAAGAGGGTGTTTTTCGTTTACAGAAAAAAATTTATAAAATTTTTCTTTGGTCGCACTTGGAATGGCTGAGAGCGTCGCGGTTGGAATTAGTTCTTATTTAACTGCCAAAATTTGAAGAGTCAAGAAAATCTCAGTTCAAAAAATCCACTTTTTCTTCATTTAAAAGCCATTTCTCTAGATTCAAACTTCTTATGAAGCTCGAGACAACTGAAAAAAGATTTTGAGTGAATTAAATTTTCAATTTTCCGCTTTGCTTTTAACCAACTTTCTGAACTTCAGAAAAAATTCTATCAACTATATAATTTCCCAAAAACTTTTCCAGGATAAAATTTCTGACGGAAACTTCTAAATAGACCTATAACTAACTAAAACCGCTTCCGCAACTCTTCAAGCCATTCTAAATGCGGCCAGAGCCCTGCTTCATATTCTGTATTTTCTAGAAAAGTATTTACCAATTTATTTAATAACTAATTTTAGTCTCAAACTAATCTAATCTCCTTGATAAAACTTTTAAAAAAAAGCCATTGAAACTAAAAATTTCACCATTTTCTCTACTGATAAAATCAAAAATTCTCGTTAGAAAATTCAGAAATCATCAAATCCATCTTCCAATAACAATTGAAAAAATTTTAAAGCTGAAAAATTTGAAAGAAGTTTTCATCGAAAGTTGGCGTATGGTTAAAAAAAAAGTCGCGTTTTTTCTGTTTAATTCTTTCAGCGATTTTTCTACTCAGATAAGCTTCCAAATAAGATTTTACCCCTTTTAAGCTTCTGAAAGCATAATTTGTCCTCACTAACTCAATTTATATTCAATAACTTGGTTTTCAAGCAAAAATTCCTTCTTAAACTCCAAAATGAACCTTTGAAACTCCATTCAAGATTATCTTCCAATAATCATAATAATATTTCAGATCGAGAGGCGAGACAAGGAAAAGGCCAGACGGTACCGTAGCCTCTCCAGGACAGATATGGAGCGGAAAGGGCGTCGGCGAAGATCAAAGGGACGAGAGAGGATGGAGAAACGAGAGGGTGTGGGGGAGAGAAAGAGAGGAGCTTCCTTGATTTATTTCTTCTTCTTCTTCTTCTTCAGCCTCCGTTTTTCTCTTCCTTTCCTTCCTCTTCGTAGTTCAAGGGTTTCTCCAAGTAGTACTATTTACAGTACTCTATCGGGAAGAAAAAACTTTTTTTCAACGATTCGATCAAGATATATTTTCCTTTGTCGAATTAATGACGACGCGAAAAAGTTTCGGGGGGTCCCGTAGTGATGAATGGTGTGAATGGATGAAATGGATTTTGAATTTGGACAGATTTTGAAAAGACGTAAAATGGGAGAATTTTTTTTAAAATCCAGCAGAATGGACGAAAAATCATATGCCGTGTTCAAAGTGATTCCGCGAAATTCAAAATAGCCGTCAGAGAAAGAGAAAGATAACTAAATTTTGGAGGGTCAGAGACCATTTTGCATTTCGCGGAAATTACTTTGAACACGGCAATAAATATGATACCAAACGTCAGAAGAATCGAAAAAGAAAGGAAAAAAATTTTTTCAGACAATGAATAATCTTAAATTTTTCTTTAAAGGTAAAAAACATCAAAATTTCAAGGGTTCGAAACCTTCACAAAGACACAGAAAAAAAATTTTTAAATCAAAAAAATTGTTCTCAGTTAAAAAAATGCGTCGAAGCTCAAAAAAATATCTCAAAATTAAGCGTTTTTCACTAAAATTCTTAACAGATTTGTTTCATAATAAATGAATCAAAAGCTGAAAATACCGAATTCGAATCTGTGGAAGAATCTAATGAGCCATAAAATTTTTTTATAAAAAAAGCCTTGAAAAAAATTTCAGAAAAAAATAAAGAGAACAACTTCAAAAAAAGACTTGAAATTTCAATTTTTTTGTAAAAAGAAGGAACTGGAAGCAAATAAAAAAATTTAGGAGTTCTAAAAAGTTTTAAAATATACGGAAAAAAGCGGAATTGCTTGATTTTGAAATTCGGAAACGTTTAATAGATTAAATACGATTTTTGGATGGAGAAAAGGAAAAATGACATTTTTCTTGTGAATTTTCAGATATAATTATCAAAAATCGATAAGACTATGAAAAGGAAGTTAAAATCTCAAAAATCTCAAGAACCTTAAACTTTTACGAGCTTCCCAAAAAGTTAAGGCCAAAAGGGAGTAAAATTTCGGAACGCTCACCCTTCCAAGGAATCAGATACATTTAAAAATTCAAATCATCCAAACCAAAATAAACATTGTTCCAAGGGACCTCTTAAGCAATCTCACTATCCAAATCCAAGTAAAAATCAAGCTAACAAGGAAAAAATATTCCCAACAGAGAGCTCCTAATTCGATGATTCAGTAAGAGGAGCAAAGGAGGAAATAAATAGATAATTGGATTACTGTCGTGTTTGGAGGCAGCAAGGAATGAATGCATACGCAATAGGATTGGGGTTACGGTAGTCAAGAAGGAGAAGAAGAGAAGAATGAGAAACGAGAAGATAATTAGAGGAAGTCGAAAGATAAATGGCGGTTTGACAGGTGTGTGTCTGTCTCTGTTGGGGCGGCTGCCCACGGCCTTCTCTTCTTCCTTTTTTCTTCTTCTTTCCGAAGTCACGATCGATTTTCTGCTTCTGCCAATGTTGATTGGTCTACGGTATGATCAGCTAGTGATAGGAAATCGATTGGAAAGAGGAACAGCGTCGGAAGCCGAGATAGCGATTTTTGAGGGGCAACTTTGCTCTAATGATAAAATGACCTTTTCATTCTTCTTTCCGAAGTCACGATCGATTTTCTGCTTCTGCCAATGCTGATTGGTATACGATGTGATCAGCTAGTGACAAGAAATCGATTGGAAATAGGAATAGCGTCGGAGGCCGAGATAGCGATTTTTAGAGGGGCAACATTGCTCTGTTGATAAAAGGATTTTTTTCCCGAAGACCATCGATTTTTCGCTTCTGCCATTGCAGTTTGGTCTACGGTATGATCAGCTAGTGATAAAAAATCAATTGGAAAGAGAAATAGCGTCGGAGGCGGAGATAGCGAATTTTGAGGGGCAAAATTGCTCTGTTGATAAAATGGTCTTTCTTCTCCCTTTTTTTCCAAAGTCACGATCGATTTTCTGCTTCTGCCAATGTTGATTGGTCTCCGGTATGATCAGCTAGTGATAGGAAATCGATTGGGGGGAGGAATAGCGTCGGAAGCCGAGATAGCGATTTTTGAGGGGCAAATTTGCACTGTTCCTTGACATTACCGTATGCCTTGCAAAAATAGAAATTGATTATCTTTCCTTCTTCAACCTGTAAATCATACGTTTCTCTTCATTTTCAAAACAATATTTCTGAACGAGAAATTCTGTTCGGAGGATGTAGAAATTAATAAGGTTCCAAATAGATTACATGTCTTTGTGAATGAAGAAAAAGAGCAGAAAACTTCAAAAGACCGAGAAAGTTTGTCAAAAAAGACACGGCGTTTCTTGGGAACGAAGTGCGCTCTATCGATAATCGTTGATTTATTTTTCTTTTTAAGAACTCCTGAAGGTTTTTCGTCCATCAAGCTGATCAATCAGTAATAAAGCACCGATTTCAGACAAAAAATAACGTCAAGGCCATTTTAAGACGCAGTTGCGCTCTAAGGCAAAAAAAAGCCAGGCGATTTCAAACTTTATATCATCTAGATTCTTATTTTGTAGATTTCTTGATGCTTTCTTTATCATCAACGCTAAGAAATCAACCTCAAAAAAAAAGTGATAGGCCATTTTTGAGACACAACTTTGCTCTACTGAGAAAGTGGCCTTTCAGGCATATTGCTTCAATTATAGAGTGTGTTTCAGTCTACTCCTTTGTTTGAATATTTTGAGCTTCAAGTTTCGAAAAAATCATAATCTCGTTATGATGAAACTAATGACAAAAAAGTGCCAAAAGCAAATCTGACAGACGGGGGGTCGGTGGCACACAAAAGGGCCCGGGAGTCGTAAACCGTGTGTGGTCGGCGGCAGAGCCGTTTACGATAGGGCCGAGGCGAGGAGGACCACATGTCCAGAGGCGACATTTGTTTTACGGCTTGACAATCTTTTGGTTGGGTTCCTTTTTTCCGTATACCATTGTGCTCGTCTGTTGTTTTGGTGGCGATTTACAAGATTTTGGGGGTTCTCCTCAGATCTTGACTTGAGAAAAAAAAATTGAGCGGAGCCCTCAAAAGTGGTGTCAGTTGGAAAATATACATTAATCTAGGGGCAATATTGATAAGAGCTTGAGAAAAAATGAGAAATGAGCCTGAAAAACGGAATCAAGACTTTTTCAACAAAAAGTAAGGTAACAACAGGAATTTGAAAAAAACTTAAGGGAGCCACAAAAAACAGTGAACTCCGGCCAAAGCTCCAAAAAAATCTGAAGAGAAGAACCTAAAAAAAACTTCAAAAAAAGCAAGATAAAAAAAGAAAAAAAAGTTGGGAACTCCAAAATCAGCCGAAAACCCACATAAAAATGCGCAAGAATTGAAAAATTTACAAATATTTGGAGGTTTCGCTATTCATCAAATCTTGAATACAGAAAGAAAAAAAAGGGATGCCCTAAAGAATCAACAAATTCAGCCTAAAAATATCAGAAGCAAGGTTATAAAAAACCGGAAAAAAAAAATATTAAAAATCGTTATGAATGAACTAAGCCTATAAGGGCTTGTAGAGAAATTCAGAGATACTTCAAAAAGTTCAAAAAGAAAACTATAAAAACCAGAATAAAGAAGTGTAACGGTCTGAGAAACAGAATTTTTTGATGGAACATTTTTGTATCCTTCCAATTAAATCAGAGCCATAACTCGAGAAGAGCCGAAAAATCTATAGAAAATCGAGGAGCGTGGCAGGATGATCGCGTGGGAACAAATCTTCCGATTTCCGCGGGGCGAAGGACGTCGTTAAAAGCCGCCGATCGTCGTCGTTTTGGCCGAGAGCCCGGGATTTCGCACCGGATAGTTTATGGGACAATCAAATGCGGTCTGTTCCTCCTGGTCCAGGACATTTTGTCGATTTAACAGGAGCATATGGACATGGAATTGAGAATTTTCTGAAAAGCGGCCAAAATATTCCTTGATTTATCAGTCTCAACCTGCTAAAAGTAAAGGTATGGGTAGGGACCGCAGACGAATTTTCAAAAATTTTTTTTCAGCATTGAGCTATGTATGGTTTGATAGCTGTTTCGATTCAGAACTCAGAACCGTTTAGTTTTTCAAAAAAGATTGAGGATGAAAAAAGTTATGACGAAAAATGTGGCACGCCGCGCACCATTTTTTTAGTACTGAATTTTTGGTATTATCCATTTTTGACATTTTTCTCGATTTTTCTTCTAGAACAAGTTTTGATACTGGTCTATTATGATGTAACAAATCATAATAGAGTGCTAAAATGATGCTAATCAGCTAGTTTGCCGAAAAAGTCGGTATTTTCCAGAAAACAAAAAACTGACGCTTGCGGGTATCGAACTCGCGACCTCAAAATGAAGAATCGCAGCGCACGCACTGCGCCAAGCTGTCAGGTCTAGCGCGGGGAGCTTCCATCCCCCTTACCCTTGAGAAGTTTGGAAAGCACAGATTGCCTATTTCAAAAAGAAAAAAACTTAAAAGTAATTAAGCTATTTTTTTATCAGAATATGTTCGCAAATCTTTACTCAAACGTTTCGTGGAAATTCACTTCGAAAAAACTGTTTTTTCAGTGCTTTTTGCCTCTTTTAACGATCGCTGCATTAAAAACGGCCCCGTATATTTTTCGGCAAAGACGAATTTTTTTATTTTATTCTTTTAATTGAAAGATTTTTTTACTAATAAATGTATATAATCGTTTGAAAAAAACCTGCGTTCGACCGCTTTCTGTCTGATAAACGCCGCTAATTTTTATTCTCTAGTTTCAAGAGCATTTTTTTGCGTATTAAACAACTTTTTTCAAGCAAAGATGCTGTAGAGAAATATTCAAAGTAAGCCCATGGTCTAAATTTTTGAAAAAAACAAAAAAACTCGATTATATTCGCTTGTTAACGATATTTTTGAATTATGACTTTCGGCACTCGCAAAAAAATGTTTGGCAAAGACGAATTTTTTTATTTTATTGTTTTAAAATTACCGTTACTTGAATCAAAATCATTATATAAAAAAAAGAAAGAGTGCGTTCGACCTGAAAAACACATGAAAAAAAGCAAAAAAATGAAAAAAATTTTTTTAGTTCCATTCACGTTTTTTTGTACGACATTCCGCGAGAACGCATCAAAAAAAAGCGTGAAATATTTTTTTAAACGAAAGAGGAAGCTTTTTCTGTACATGTGTGTCAAATTTTATTCGCCAGTTCCATATATTTTTGCAACTAAAAACAAAATGAAAGTTGAAAACCAAAAAAAGCCACTTTTTCTATCGCGAAAAAGGGGCGTGGCTTTGCGGTCCCTAGGTATGGGGTCGAAAAAAGGCCTATTGAACGGTTTTTGATCTTTTTGAATATTTACAGAATATTTGGGTCGAAAAATCATAAAAAGTGAAGCGTCACGCACCTAAAAGAAATTATGAAAATATTCCAATCCTGAAAAAAATGAAAAAAATAGTTCAAAATTCACATTTTTGAAGCTTATGTCCATCATGTGAATATAAAAAAATCCTTAACAAAGGAGTAATAAAAATGGAATTTGAGTGAAATAAATATTCAATATTCAATGAAGAGTACTGTAGTGAGTAAATGTGTATGATGGGGCGAAGAAGTTCGCGACAAATCGCCATTTTTTCTCACTTTGATTACAGACGTTTCTACTGATTTTTCTCTATTAAATCCGCAAAAGAGGCCAAAAAAATCAGAAGTCAAAGATTTACGGGTCAAAATTGGCTTGAATTATCGAAAGCTTACAGAAATCGTTTCTCAAACCTTCAAAATAATGATCTCCTACCCCCCAAAATGATCCAAAAAAAGGCTCAAAATTGACAGTCCCAACATATTGATTTTTTTGAATCATGAAATTGGAAGTCCCAAGCCTACAAAAATTTTTCAAAAAGATGATTTTTCCAACGGCTAAAAGCTCACATTTCTGAAGCCATGAAAAAAATCAAAAAAATTGAATTTTTTTGAAAATTACGCTTCATGAACTTCTAAAAGCTTGAAAACAGTCCAAAAATAAAAATTCAAATTAATCGTAAGCGGGTTTTGAGCAATTTTTAAGCGGTCAAAGCTCAAAAAGCGCTTATTTTCCGATATTCCATCTTAAACAGTTCCAGTCTTGAAAAAAAATTTTCTTGGGCTGAAAAAATTTCCTTCTAAAATCTTCTATCTCCGTGCACATTTTACAACTACCTGCACTCAAAAAGAAATCCGAAAAAACCCAAAAAAAATTTTGAAACCCCCAAATTAAACCTAAAAAATCCCCTCCATTGATACCACACTTCAATTCAACTAAAAACAACCTTTTCATGATTTCGAACAAAATTTTCTCGCTTCGAAAAAAGGCCAGCCGGTGAACAACCCATTTCGCTTCAAATAAAATCCAATGAGTCACGAAAAAACGCACACAGACTTTCGACACGAAAGTCCGCCCCATTAAGATTAAAATCAAAACGAAAACGTTGGCCCGTTTTTTTTTTGTCTTTTTTTGGGCATTCCAAGGGTTCTTTTAAGGCGCAAATGGACTAGAAAAAAGTGGAAATACTGAAAAAAAAACTTTAAAAAGAAGGGAAATTTCAGAAAATTCTTCGGAGAACTATATTAAAGCTTCAAAAATGTATTCCGAAAAGTCGTGAAAGTCATGATAGAAACTCCCCCCAATTTGAAAAAAAAGGAAAGCAAGATGATTTTTTGAGGACCGCTGAAACTTTAGTTCATTTTTTAAAGTGTAGGAAAAGTTATAAGGTCAAGTTTTCTTGTGTTCCAAACTCAATGAGACAACTCCTGAAAAGTTAAAAAAAAAGAAAATTCAGAAAAAAAAATCCTACAAATTGTGATGACAGCCGTTGATAGGGAATCTTCAGGACGGTTCAAAAATGGGACTTTTTGCGAGCCCTGAAATTTTTTCTTTTTCAAAATTTTCTCTTGATCTCATCATCATAACCACTTTGTCTATAAACATTATTCAAGGAATTTTTTCCTGAATTTATGATTTTCTTTTTATTTTTCCGTGTAAAAAAACATCACTGAGTATGTTCAAAAGACTCAAAATTCATGTCACTAAATTCAAAAAGGGATATTCGCTTCGAGAACTTTATGATATTGGGGTTATGATCCTTTAAAAACCCTCAGCAAGCATTTTTCTATACGAAGTGTATCTGTGGCAGCATCTCGAAAAAAAATTGAGGATTGTTGATTTTCAAGAAAATGGTCCTGGCACGACCCCTTGCGCGAAAAAATCATACGGTAGTCCAATAAAATTTTCGTGGAAGTCCTCAATTTATTTGATACTAATTTTTAAGCATAAACTTTCTCAAAATTTTTATTTTTCTCAAGTAAAAAAACCAGTTTTTTTCGAAGTTCTAACTAATTTTAGCCGATCCCAGAAAAATTCCCTATTTTTCACAAAATTTAAAAATCACTGAAATAATTTTTGCGGCCTTTTTTCTCAAAAACCTTTTTCTTAAGTTCTGAGAGAATTTTTCTCAATCCAATCTAAGACACTTCTTTCGAAATTCAACCCTGAAAAGTTCGAAAAGAAGTCAAGTTTAGGTCTACCGTAGGACTCGGCATACATAAATAAGGCAAGACCGAGACAGGAGGGGAGGCAAAGACAAGGAAAAGTTTGAAAAATTCCGAAAAGGCGCCCCGGGGCCGGCGGCCAACTTCAAAGGGGGACGCCGCCCAAATGCCGACATACGCAGCAGCACAAGAATTCGTTCCGCCGAACAATCGTCTCAGAAAGACGTCGTGCATGTTTCCGTGCGGGACAATGTTCAAATATTTCCCTCATTTTTGGGATTCGAAAGTGAAAATGGTCTTTTTTAGTCATCGAGATGGTTTTCCTCGACTTTTCTCAAAAACTGGGCAGTTGTGCAGGTTGAGAAAGGAGGGGTGTGTACTTTTTCAAGATGGTACGTGATGACGTCACGAAAAAAAATCGTTGGTTTGCCCATGTACGTTCTAGAATTATTCAAGCAGAGTTTGCGAAATCCCAAAGCCCAAAGTAGAAACAACTTTGATTATCACGAAAGTTTTACACTAGGAAAATCGTCTCAAAATATCAACATATTTTATTTTAAATCAATGATGAGAGGAAAACTTTCGTACCAAGTACATCGACCAAGATGTTTATTGAAAGATAAAATGCTTGTTTCTGAACTTCTTCTCAAGTGGCCACTTAAATTTTAGACTTTTTCAGTTTTTACGCGCATCATGACCTCAGGAAGCGTCCTATTACCGTGGACCTATGTTTAAATATTTCCCTCATTTTTGGGATTTGAAATTGGAAACAGTATTTTCAGTCAGGGACTGATGTCTACTCGGTTCAGGGTGTATTCCAACAAAAAACAGTTTTTTTCCCCGTTTCTAGTCAGTTTTTCCCGAGTATTTGAATAGAGAAGGTTTCGAATAAAAACCGTTAAGTGTTCCCTTACGAATCCACTAGAATCCCCTCAAAATGCGCTAGTTTACACCAAGCTACAGAACCCTTACTTTCCGCCTTATGCGCCTTTAAGGTTATGAACATTTTCATGCGCCTTTAAGGTATTGAACACTTCAAGTTTAATAAAATACGCATGCACACAGTCATTCCGCATGATCGACGGGAAACTTCCCGAGAGGGTTCTGTAGCTCGGAGAAATGAAGATCGTGACAAGCGGGGGAGGGATGGGCTATGAATCTTTATTTCAACTCAATAATGAAGTGTGTAGGATGGGCGCGCCGTAGCGCAACAGGTTGTGTGCCTGTCTACGGTCCACAGGGTCACAAGTTCGATCCCCGCCCCAACCAAGGGGTTTAAGAAATGTTGGTAGTTGGAAACCACGCCTTCATAATCCCCATTCGTCACACACAAGGACGGATATGTCACTCGAGCCAGTCCACTGATATCAGGATAGGACCTCGGCTAATCGACCGGGGCGCCGACGCCACTCAAGCGGTACAAAAGCGTAAGAAGAAAAAGAAGGTTGAAGTGTAGAGGATAGTTTATTTTACCAAGTTAACTGAACTTTATCGAGTAAAATGGTCTTTTTTTGGGATCCTTCTTAAGCGGCCACTTAACGAGTTTAGAATAATTATGTCGTTTACGTGTAATAAACCAACTAACCTTTCGAAATAATCTTGTTCTTCATGTTACCGTTGTGTAGAGATCGAGCCTGTAACAATTAGAGTGAGGAATATTGAAGAATATTAGTTATTTGGAACCGTTTTTCAAAAATTTACGCGTTCAAAGCCACTGAAACACATAATCTATTGATTTTCGCTTAAAAAAATCGGACCTGATTCTCAGATTCTGAACAAAAATTAATAAAATAAGCCTTTCTAGATTTGTAAAGGCGCAAGTACTGAAATATCGTCTCTTCGCCTCGAATCAAAATATGAAATTCACCTATGCTCCTTTAAAAACCAGCAAAGAATTGTTTTAAATTTCGCATTATTATCAAAATAATTCTGCCCATTCAAAGCATCACAACAATATTTCAAATCTCTACCAATCGAAAACAGATAAAATATTTATTAATAAATCATCGAAACCATGAAAAAAAATTGCATGCGACGAGCAACGAGGGCGAAATTTGGGGAGTTGCATTTCTATAGAAAAAAAAAGAAGGAGAATTGAGACAACACAAGTAACTGGGAGAAGCGAGAGATCATTAACAGTAAAACAACATAGAATAGCGAGAAAAAGACAGTGTTTGGGTGGTGGGGACGGAAATAAGAGAGAGAGAGAGAGAGGGAAGAATGGTCAAAAGTTTAATGGCGTTTTGAGAGGTTGGCTCGAAGCGGCGGGCTGGTGGCGCGGCTCGGTGAAGCCGGCGGAGGAGGTCGACGCGAGAACAACGAACGAGCCCACGTACTGTAAATTATTCGAATTGGTTCTACGAAATCTGCCGAAAAAATTTTTTTCATTTGAACATATAGCCCATTTTGTTAGGGCGCGAGCCGTAGCGCAACAGGTTGTGTGCCTGTCCACGGTCCACAGGGTCACAAGTTCGATCCCCGCCCCGACCCAACCAAGGGGTTTAAGAACTGGTGGTAGTGGAAAACCACGACTTCAAAATCCCCAGCCGTCACACATAAGGCCGGATATGTCACTATAGCCAGTCCACTGATAATCACATATCAGGATAGGACAGGACCTCGGCTAATCGACTAGGGGCGCCGACGCCGCTCAAGCGGTACAAAAGCGTAGGAAAAAGAAGATATAGCCCATTCTGAGCCATGCACAAATTCCAGTTTTCAGAGAAATTTATCGGCTGAACCATTTGAAAAGTTGTTTGTCTGTTCGCAAAACAGTCGTTGATAAATTACGGCGCGTATCGTTTTTCTTGTGATAGTTTTTTTTTTCTCCGGGCTCTAGAGCCCTTTCGATAAGCTTCTCTTCAAGGCGTATTACCTGCCTGTATGCATGCGCCTTTAATATAACGAAAGTTCAAGGCCATGGTGACAAGCTTTCCGCGGAATGAGCCGGATGAAACAGAACCAAATTTTTCTCCGAGAAAAGGTTGGTTTACTCGGTAACGCAAATTGAAGGCGCCCCGAACGTTTCTGAGCTTTTTAGTCAACACTTAGGAGTGCGGACGACGGTAAAAGGATCACTAAACATCGTCAGAAGCATTTTAGGAGTTCCACTACAACCAATACTTGACAAGGAAAAGGCGGCAAGTGATTCTTAAGAGCTTACATCCCACCCAGAGACAGGCAATTAATTTTTCTAATAACCCGGAAGGTTAATTTAATAGGAATGAAATACTGCTTGATCCATAGATAACTGTGGAAAATACCTCAAACCTTATTTTTCCTTCTGAAACTTTCCCTCCATCTTTTATTCAGCATAAAATGTTCAATATATTAAAGGCGCATACACATCGAAAAAAAGCTTCCCGGAAGGGTTCTGTAGTTCGGAGGAAAGTAAAAATCACGACAAGATAGCGCGGAATGAACTATATGTCCTTGGGAGACCTCTTCAGATTTTTTCTTTTTGGAAACTTCCCAGCTTCCAACTACTCTCCATTCATTACCTGAAGCAGCAGCCCTCATTTTTCTTGGTGCGCGGCTGCCTTTTCGTTGATCGGATCTTCTGCGCGTAGACTTCGGCGACAACGTCGCCAGGCATCTCGGCGAATTGCAGCCGAGAAAGGTCATCGTCCTGGGAAAAATCTCTCTTCTTCTATATCAATGAAAATGGAACCTTGATTGCCGCCAATCGATCGACCAGAACCGACATTGTCGAGCTATTGGGATCGCATTGCGACATGGCGCATGTTACCTGAAAAATTCGGTTTTTAAAGGTATACTGTGGATTTATTTGAAGTTATTCACCCACAAACTTGTCATTCAAAAGGCTGAACCGCTTTCTCAGCACTGTCTAGGTTCGACATGCTATTTACTCCTTATATTAGTAGAATGAACCCCCAGAACTAACTTGGGTGAAAGTCGGGTGAACCTGCGACAGACCGGACTCTCAGCACTCTTTAGGTTCTACATGCTATTTAGGTTCTACATGCTACTTAGGTTCCTGTTAATAGGGTGAACCCGCTGTTCTAATTCGGGTGAAAGGCGGGTCGTAAATTGGACTTAACACGGCGTGCACGCCCGCTTCGCTCACTCCACCGCTTATTCGATAAAGCCGCCTTAATTTTTCTTCATTTCGTTTTTCAGGTAAATCGGCAAATCTTCAGCGCGACGGGCTAAACCGAGCTTCCTACAGGTCTACCCAACTTTCACCCGATTGTGCCCCGCGGGGCCACTTCATCAAGTTGAGATTACATGGTATTATGACCTTAATGATGATGGGGAAGCGCTGAGAAGTTAGAATCTTCAAAAATTAAAAAATGGAAGTAGAACTGTTGATAAAAAACTATTTTTTTTTTCATAACTCCTTCTGAGGTTCTCAAAAGTCACATGTGCCCCAAAATAACTCTCATGTTGGTAGGGTTGACTCGCCGTACAAATACGGAGCGACAGTGAATGAAAGAGCCACGGCGGGCCAAAAACGGGTAAACGGGACAGGAGATCCTACAAGGCTAAAAAGCTTTGATGCCTATCAAACGCGCCGTTCATTTGCTATCAAGGACGCTTCAATCTGCTGAGCGGCGGGACAAAAACGGGTGAACGGCGAGGCAGAAGCGGCTATGGAGTTTGAAGCTTTGACTCCTAATAACCTCGCCGCTCACCCCGCTCTCAATGACTAGTCAATCTGGTAAGAGGCGGGACAAAAACGGGTGAACGGCGAGGCAGAAGCGGCTATGGGGCCTTAGAGCTTTGACGCCCCATCAACCGCGCCGTTCACCCGCTATCAAAGACGCTTCAGTTTGCTGAGCGGCGGTACAAAAACGGATGGACGGTGGGGCTTGAAAATTTGACGCCTATAAACCGCTGTCGAGGACGCTTCAATCTGGTGAACGTCGCGGCTGAAGCATATTAACGCCCGCACTCCTCCTGCTTTCCCCGCGCAGTAATTCCGTATTTGCACGGCGAGTCAACTCCTCCAACATGAGAGACAGTAAAAACGGCCTCGAGACCTTCATGCAATTTCAAGCTGCTCCTTTAAAAACACATAAAAATAATTTTTTTTAACGATTCATCTCTAAAAAAAAACCTGGAACAACTTTTGTCGATCCAATTTCTCCGCGTGCAAACCAACGTATTGCTCGCAACGAGCGATCACCGGCCTCATTTCGAACCGATTCGCCAATCGCAGCACCAAAGACACGTTGTGGACTAGAAAGAGAAATGAAATTTCACTTTTTATAAAGTATCTTCCTCTAATTTGTCGATACATGCTCTTATTCTTGCCTCACAAACGCAAAAAAAAAGCCTCCTCGATCAAAAAATTAACTTCCTTAGTTTCAAGCGTACAGAACAAAACCCCGTTTACACTTCAAAAAAGACAGTTCAATAAAACATACGGGACTTGTAAGTCGAATCCCTATTTACTCATAAAATTCAGAAAAAAAAATAAGTAGCTAAATCTTCTTTGTTCAAACTAAGCAATTTTTCCAAATCTCTAGTCATCTTCTCCACCAGGAAAATATCGTTTTTCCCAAATATTTTGAAAACTTTTATTTATAGCCCATTCCGCGCCAGCTTGTCACGTTTTTCTTCCCGCCAAAAAGACCGCCTACCAAATTAGAGCAACTTCGCTTCAGGACCTCATTTTTTTTGCGTTTTTTGAAGTTTTGTAGAGTTCATGCGGCCCCTTTTTAAAGAAAAAGCAGAAAAAAGGCAACCCCAAAAACAGTAAAAAACAAGGGTCTTGCAGGGAATTTGATCTATATGGTACTTTAGGCGGAAAAAAAATTTCGACGAGCTGACGGATAACGCTCAATTTTTGCACTATATACCTATTCAAGTTGAAAGCCTTTTAAAATATGAAACCTAATAATAAGATTTTACAAGTTTTTCAAAAGAATAATCAAAAAAAAGTGCAAAATTTTTTAAACTTTACATCACAATCCTAAAAAAAACTTCATTCAACAGATAATTTTTCATACTCACCTGACAACGGCTTCCTCATTGGGCAGAAAAAAATGCAGCGAATAAATTCTAAACATTCTTCCGGCGTCACATCGTCCAATACCAGCCGTTTCACCGGCGGTTTCCGACAAAATGCGTTTTCTGCGAAATACGGCGATAGTTCGGCGAGCCAGCCGGCGTTCACATAGCTGACAAAAAAAAAAATAGCTTTACTTTCATTTTAATTAATTTCCATACAAGACTTGATCGATCGCGACAATTTCATAGGTTCGCCACGGGGAAGGACTGGAAAAATCGTCGAAAGCCGCCCTCTCAATCACGACATCATCGCAGTCCTTCATTAGGATCCGTTTCCACCGAGCGGATAGTTTGTCTGAAAATACGTACATTTGGAAACTGTGACGACTAAAATGTACAAAGTTTCACGCGCAATTCCGAAATAACCAATCAAGGTCACTGAAGAAGACTCAAAAATGGAAGGGAAAATACCTAGATGTACTTCAGTGCATCTGATCGGAAAAAAAGAAAAGAAATTTTTTCAACTTTCACTTTCAAGTCGGTTCACAACACTCCAACGACGCCGAAGCTCTTATTTTTTTCCACAAAAATGATATTTGAACAAAAATTAGGATAGCGATCAGCAAAGTCTTTATATCTTTATAATTTTGATGGTTTGGACCCTCTAACATTCGAAATAATGGTTTTGGTCTGATTCGGTGTTGAACAAGACATAAAAAAACAATACCTCCTAAAAATTAGAAGTAGCCTCTGTGCGGATTAAAATTCCAGTTCATAAAAAAGTTTTCAAGCAAATTTAAATAAAATTCCAATAGAACCATAATGACCTCCATGATAATTAGCAATTCAGTAAGCTATCTCATTGAAAACGGATAGATTTTTGGAATTAAAAAAAAGTTGAACAGTTATAGCCGATTCACGACTAGCTTAGGACGTTAAGAGACTTGACTTGACCTTTTATTCGGAAATTACAAAATGGAACACCACAAACTCAAAACCCCTTGAACTGGCAAAAAAATTTTCTTCTATTTCTTTTTAAATGCCCAAGATTTCGAATTATAAAAAGTTAGCGACACTCAAAATAGTGAGTTTTTGAAAATTCGTAACAACTGTTATCACACAATGAGTCCTTTTTCGTGTCATTTCAAGCGGTGAAGATTTTTGCGGCTTTGGAATCAACCAACAAGGGATTTCGACCAAACTATAGAAATAAAAGCTAATAGGACATGAAAACTGTTTCAAATTTTCCATGACAGAAAAAAACATTGAAACCCAAAAAAATTTGAAAAAAATGCACAAAATATATATAGGGACGAGTGAAAATCAGACCTTGACGTCCTCGATGCATAATTGGGAATGATGCACGATCAGAAAACGTCTACGTTTTCATGAAAAATTAAAACCGCTTGGGAAAAAAGTCAAAAAAATAGAAATGATCACGAGTAGACTAAAAGGATTTTGGTGAGCTCAAAAAACGTCTTTAAGTCGCTTGCTTTGATCCTTGGAAAACTTTCGATTCAGGAATGGCTTAGAAAACGAATAAACACGAAAATTTTATAAAATAAATAGAATTAAAGATTCTAAAATGAAATCAAAGTGGAAAAATTGCGCTCGCGGCGCGCGAAAGAAAATGGCTTGCTGTAATTTTCTCGTCTGCAGACACGCGTTCTCAGCGGAGCAACAATTTCGGAAAATTTCCACGTCGCAAATTGAGCCAAAGTTTTTTTGCATTTTCTTTTTTCGTTTTCTAGAGTTAAAAAGGTTATTTATATATATTGTTATGTACTATTTACAGAATGTCGTTCTACGAACAAACTGGAACAAATGCCAGTGGAACGGATCATCGTAGAAAGTGGAATGAGGTGAGTAATAGTCAAACCGAAATTTGGGACTTTTATCTTGTTAATTTTTGTTGATTATCGATTTTAATGATTTTAGGCCGACTACGCGTTGAAAGCGCAAGCTCGATTGTTAGAAGAGAAGGAAAAGGAAGATATTCGATTAGGAAAAGCCAAGCCGGATGGGCCGAAAGTTAAAAGGGAACTTCTCAAAGCTCGCGACTACAAAGTGAAGAAGATTAGGCAAATTGGAAGCTATAAAATAGAATTTTAGGTTGATTTGGAATCGAAAGTGGGTAAATCGGTTGTAATCAATAAAGCGACGCCGTCGGCCGAAACGGGCGGTTTCTACTGCAACGCTTGTGATTGTGTGGTGAAAGATTCCATCAATTTCCTGGACCATATCAATGGCAAGAATCATCAGAGGTTTCTTATATATTTTTCATGAATTTTAACATTTTTTTCCGTGTAGAAACATTGGAATGTCGATGAAAACTAAGCACAGTACGGTGGACGACGTCCGGGAGCGATTCAGGGTCCTGAAAGAGCAAAGTAAAAATTTAACTTGATAAAAAAATAATAATTAAATTACAGAAGAACGAGAAAAACGAGAACAAGCCGTAGAATCGATGCTGGAAGACGTGCAAGAGGAGGAAATGCGGATGGCCGATTATAAAAAGGTTCGTTTTGTTTTGGAAAAAAATTATGTTTCTGACTCAGCTTTTCAAGGTTCCAGGAATGTTTCAGATGTTTAGAAAACAATGCATTTGTCGTTTATTTTTGTGTTTTTAATTGAACTTTTGAGCAGAAATTTTTCTTTTTTTCAGGTTCATTAATAATTTTTTTGAGGCTCTTGGAAGTTTCGTATTAAATTAAATACAACTAGAAACGGCCCTTCACTTTGAAAAATTCATGAGATTTTTTTCTATGTTCCTTTAAGAATGCAACTATTTTTTTGAACAGATTTTTGTTCGATTCTTAATAATTTGAATATCATTTTATACGCCAAACTGAATATATTGTTAATAGCGAAATTTGGCAAAAATCAAAAAATTTAACTGTTTTTCTTTAAAGTTAAATTTCATTACCAAGCGTCATTGACTTGAATTTTTTTCTTTTTAAAATATTTGCTCAGATTATTTCTATAGGTCTTTAAAAAGTTCAACAAGCTCCTAAGCTTTGCCAATCTTTACCAAGTTGAAAAAAAGAACTTGATCTAGGCAAAATCGAAAAAGACTCCATTGAAGTGTTCACTTCAGGGGCAAAGTTTCCTTTTTTGCTGCCTTTTTGCGCCATTTCATAGGCTATCATGCACCATTTTTGCTGTCTCTCATTTTGTCTACCATTTCTTGATTTTTTAAAATCCTGGAAAAATGGAAGACTCGATAAAGGAAATTTTTTTTTGATCCTCTCTCATCTAACTGCTATTATTCACCCTTCCGACTTTGTCCGAAATGGAAAAATTGAGTGATTTATTTTGATGAAACCTGACGTTTTTCTAATTCAAATTTTGAACTAAATACGCGTTTTTAGGCGAAAAAGAACGACAGCCGTAAGAGGAAACGAGAAACGAAGCCTGAAGAGGAAGAAGCGGCCGACGGCGAAGACCTCGATCCAGAACTTCGCGCCATGATGGGCTTTTCTGGCTTTAGCACTTCTAAGAAATAATCCTCTAGCTTTTCCGAATCTCTTGTACATTGTTATATCCAATTCTAATCAATCCAATCATTTGATTTTTTCTATTCGTTTACTTATTGCGTTTGATCTCAGGAATAAAATTCTTCATTTAAAAAGTCGTTTTTCGTTTTCTTAGTGGTTTTAGAACCATTTATCCATACTTTTATTCATTTATTCGTGGTTTTAATTTTTTTAATTTCAAAATTCAGGTATGAAATCGTTTTTTTGGCGATTTCGAGCCTGCTGCTGGCGTTGGCAGTCACCGTTCTGAGCGATGTTCAGACGATTGATGATAAAGTAAGTTTTGAGCGGTTAGAAAAAGCCTTCTGATGCTGTTTAGGCATAGAAATCATACTTAAAATGAGAAATTTCGATTTTAGATTCAATTAACTTACAAATTAACCTTGAAAAAACATGAATCGAGCGATTTTTTTTGGGTAAATTTACGAAAATCCAAAGAAAAAAACGCCAGAATATCATTAGACCCTTCATAATTGCGCCTTTGATACGTTAATAAATATCAGAATATTTAAATAAATATTCCAGGTTCATTCCCTAAACGAGCTTCTCCATCGAACCCCCATCCTGAAGCTGAACATGGACCGCTGGAAGACCTACGTCAGGCAGCAGCCGCGGAATTATTCCATGGTCGTCATGTTCACGGCCCTCTCCCCCAATGTCAACTGCCCCATTTGCCGGTTAGTATTGATTTACTTTGCTGGGATAAGTTCAAAATGGGTGGAGACTGTCATTTTGTCACAAGACGACCAAAAATCAGCCACTTTTCTTTCTTATTTTCGTATGGAAGGCTCAAAATAGTTGTGAAATTGATCCTTATAGTCATTTCCAACCAAAAAGATCGAATACAGACCAGCCTACGATGAATTCCTGATCGTGGCCAACTCTCACCGGTACACGAGCTCGGACTCCGACCGCAAAGCCGTCTACTTTGCACTCGTCGACTATGAGGACTCCCCGCAAATCTTCCAGCAGGTAGGTACAGGCAAATAGAGTTCAAATTGAAAAAAAGAAGCAAAATAGCTCGAAAATCGTGGTTTTAAATTTTCCTTAAAGCCAAATTTTTAGAAAAAAAAGTCTCTAGAACGTTACTTGAACCTTGAAAGAATTTTTAAATTTTTTTTAGATATCTTCTAATCTTTTTTTCAATGATAGAGTTTTTTTAAAAAAATCCTTTTCATGATGTTCGAAGGGGAAAATTCCAAAACCGCCTCCAGTCCCCCACCAAGGCAAATTTAGACCTGGGGGGAGCTAATTTTCATTCTAAAATCGCCCCTTTCGTGGTGATCGAAAAAAACTAAAGGCCACCCTTCGTCTTAATAAATTTTTCAAAAAAATAGTTTCGTTTTTTTTTTTATTGACGTCTTAGCAAGGAATTTTCGATCAGACCTTAGTTCTAATGACTTTCAGAAAGAGTAAAGTGAGTTTTCGTCTAATTTACACCCCTAGATGAACCTGAACACTGCCCCGATCCTCTACCACTTTGGAGCCAAACTTGGGGCCAAGAAGAAGCCCCAACAAATGGATTTCCAACGACAAGGATTCGATGCGGACGCCATCGCCAGATTTATCGCTGACCAAACTGAAGTCCATGTAATTTTGATGCATTTTGCACTGAAAAATGATGAAAATCGGTTAAGATTCGCGTTTTGCGGCCACCAAACTACACGGCTCCCGTGGTGATCGTCCTGCTTCTTGGCCTCGTTCTGGGACTTCTCTACATGAAGCGAAACAGCCTCGATTTCTTGTTTAACCGCAGCAGCTGGGGATTCTTGTGCTTGGTGGGTTCCTAAGTCAAGAAAGTGAAATGTTCTGTCGAGAGGAAAAGTGTGGAATCAGAATTTTTGGACATTTTATTCAGAAGTAATGGTCCAGAACTCATAAAGAAGCCCATAAATGGTCCAAAAAGCTTAATTTTTGAGATCCTCATCAGAAAGAAACATACGAAAACTTTTATAACTGAATTAGTTTGCATTTATTTTTCTTTTTAAATTGTATTCATAACTTTCAATCTAAATTTTGCGATCACTTTCCTACAAAAGTAGTTTTTGAAGATGAAGTCTAGCTTTTCTTTGTTTCAAAAAGAAATAATTCTAATTTTCCAGGGAATCACATTCATCTTCATGTCCGGACAAATGTGGAACCACATCCGTGGTCCGCCTTTCCTCATGACCAATCCCAACACCCGGGAAACCAGCTTCATCCATGGATCTACTCAGTATCAAGTTAGTTTTGAAGAAAGTTCGGAAAAAATCGAATCAACCGCGTTCAAAGTTATTTCCGAGAAACACATTTTTTTAATCCATCTTTCTGTGACCTCACTTTCCTAGTTCCCGTTTTTTTTTTCAAAGTGACGTCAAAAGATCGGAGATTAGCGGAACAGTTCTGAAAAAAACGCGGAAGAGCGAATTTTCTAATAAAGTAAACTTCTTACTAAAAAATTTAGACAACCGTGATACTAGACCTTTTAGGAATTTTAAAGTGGTCTTACCCCTTAGCCTCTTAAGTGGTCCCTATAGGGAATTTTATCGCTTTTTTTGTTCAGTTTTTCGCATGAAAATGCTTCTTCTCATAGAGTTCATAAAAATTATCGATTGGCATGTCCCCTATAGAGACCACTTTTGCAAGCCTTAGTGACCCCTGCAGGGGTTGGTAAAGCAGTCCCTAGAGGGAACCGACCCTACGACTGCCCTTATAGCGACCACTCTGGTGTTTTTGTAAGTGTGGAAGATAATGAATAGAAAAGTGTTTGTAGTTAGGCTACCATGACTCAGAAAAACCCCTAAAAAGGCAAAAATATCCGCGTTTCGCACTGTTTTGAACAGTTATTCAAGATTTTCGTAATTGTGAGAATTTCTTTGAACACACGGACATTGTATCAGATGTACTTTTAACATATAAGGTGTGATAAATCAACGATATTTCGAAGAGAATGGTTATATTCGCCTGAACAGCAAATTTTCGGAAAAAAGCATAATTAGAAATTACTACTATTTGACCTCGAAAAGTTTCTTGTAAACTCCCGGAACTTGTCAGCTTGTTGCCGAGACCTACCTGGTCGCCATTCTCTACGGTCTGATCACCTTTGGCTTCATCCTCATCAACGAGGCTGCCGACGGATCCCACGACAAGAAGAAAAAGTCGGCCTTGTTTGCCCCCAATGCTACAGGTATTATAATAATCAAATCTTCCTTTGCAAAAAACCAATTTTCCAGCCCTCGCCATCGCCGGCCTGGCCATTGTCGTCGTCGTTTTCTCGTTCTTGCTCTCGATCTTCCGCTCCAAGTACCGCGGATATCCCTACAGCTTCCTCTTCAGTTAAATCCATCACTTAACGTTGTTCTAGGGCGTGTACTTCCTTCATTGTTTTATTTATTAATTACGGATTCCTTCATTGGTTTTTCTTATTTATTCATTTTGATGTTGTGTTGTTTTTTTTGTATTTAATAAAGTTGTAATTTATTGCAAATTCCAGTGTAAAGCTTGTGAGGTACCAGTTGTGTGTGTGTATGAGATTAGATTAAGGGACCCGAAAATTATGATAAGTTAGGCTAATTGACTAATAACTTAAAGGTGTGCGTTGCTCTCGTTTTCGTTATCGGCGCAAGGTCGCGTCGAGTTCGATTCGAAGGAAGAATTTTGAGGCGTCGGCGACTTCATGTGCACCCCGGCTATTGAGAGACTGTCGACGTCCTGAAAGTTCGAACATTTTTTAAAGAATGAGTTAAAATAGGTACTTTGAGGTCCTCAGTAGCTCTTTGTAAAGAAAAATTCAGTTTTTTCAAACCGTTCGAAGTTTTGAAAATATTTTCCAAACGCGTTTTTTGCCCCAGGGACGTAAATATCAGGTACATCAGTTTTCAAACCGGTTTTTTCAAATCAAAATGAAAAAAATAAAGGAAATGACTATGGAGTATTTATTGGAATCAGGGAAAAATCAAATTTTGGAAAAAAAAATTTCAAAGTTCATTTTTTGGCCAAGAAACTCTTCAATCTTAAAAAAAAGCTCTACTTAGAAATTCCAGAGTAGTCCCTATAGGGGTATAATTAGTGTGGTCCCCAATAGGGGTTAGAGGAGGAAGCAATCCTTGTAGGGACCGAAAAGTGGTCTCTATAGGGGTCTTCCAATTTCATTCAAAAGACGCTTGATTATTTAGTTTTTGGAGATGCTTCTCCGTTCAGAGTTAATAACAAGCATGTCCCCTATGGGTACCACTTTTGCAAGCTTTAGTGGCCCCTATAGGGGTTGGTAAAATGGCCCCTAGAGGCCCTATAGGGACCACTCTGGAGTTCTATACTTCTAATCCTTTCGAATTTGTCAAATTTTCTTCAAAGCTTCATTTCATTTCAAAATAAAGTCTTTTTCCATACCAAATGGCATGGAATCTCGTAGATGCGCGACCAGTTTGGATCCTCGTAGATCTCGTCGACCGACGACATGGCGCGATTCAAGTGTCCCTCCCGTTTGACGGTGAAGGCGTTGATCTCCTTGGCGTCCTCCCAACACGTCTTTTTGTTGTTGCGCCAAGACGAAAAGTAGCGCCAGGAGATGACGGCGATGACGAAGAGCAAGACGCAGAGGAACGATATGAACGCGCCGCCCAAGGCGATTTGTGAGGCGAGAAGGCTGTTGGAAGCCTCAGTCGGCGGAAGAGGACAGCCGACGGCGACTTCTCCGATCGTGACGATGTTGAACTTGAAAAATATCGATTATTGATTGAGGCACTGTTCTGTGAATGAATAACTCTAGGTTTTAGGCTGGGCAGTAGCCACTGTAAGGCTACGTCATAGTTTTGCAAAATGCCGTTTTTTAAAGAAATGAATGTTACGCTGAACCTAAACGAGGGTCAATTTGGCGTTTGCTTAGATACCCTGGACTTGAACGGCTCTCCCCAGTAACCCTCGCGCAGTCTACCGCCGTTCACCCTCTTAACCCCAGCCGAATACCCGGAACACCATTTTTTGTCCCGATTAAGTCCCGTGTATCTACTCTACGGTTGGCCAGAAGGACCCGTGGGGCTATCAAGTCACGTTTTTGCTGAATGGTTACTCCACGGTTGCTACAGCCGACTACTCGATGTTTTTTTTTACGATTCTAGTCATTCGCTAGACCTAATAGGGGACTCGGAGGAGAAATTTGGCGCTTGGGAGTTCCGCCCGACTCAAACGGGATTTGGCTGAACGACGGTCGCATCCATGGGTGCTACTGACCAGCATGAGAGAATAATTATTAAAAAAAAGTCAGTACCGAGCAGAAAAATATGTTCTGGGAAAACCGGTATATAATGGAATAACCACGTGATAAAATCAGTCAAAAAAAGAGAAAATAAGCTCCCAAAAATTGCCCATTGTTGGCATAAAATGATTAGAAAGTGCGCTCTAGGAGACATGATGCAAAATTTTGAAGTCCAACAATAAAATTTGAAAATCTAGTAGGGAAACGAATGAAAAAAAATATGAATTTAGAAAATAATCTACATTTTATCAGTGGAGCACTGATTCGAACCACATTTCGCCAGCTACGGCAGAATTTTTGCAGCCGATTTTCCTTTCAGACCATTTTTATTGGACTCACTATTTTTTTGAGAAGTACAGGAACTGCTTTTATAATTTTATTGCCAAATCTAAAAATCACCATGTGATTCGGAGCCGATGGGAAGACCAACTGGCGTTGAGCCAAGAATCGTCGGAGGCACATGGGAGCGACATCGCCGACGACGATTTTCCGTTGATTTTTCCCGAAGGGCCTCGGTAAAGCCACGCGCGACTTGGCCTCTTTACCTTTTCCATCGATTTGAATGCTCAACTGAAACCAAAAAGTCCTTATTATGTTCTTGACGTCTTCTCCTGCAAACCAGCTTGCCGTCGTCGGTCATCTCCAGCTGCAGTCGATGCCATTCTCCGTCGTCGCAACGGCCATCGAGCTGCATTTCGACGGGGCGAACTTGGTCATCCGTCAAGACGTAGGTGATGCGACCGTCGATTATCTAGAAGATTTGAACTTGGTGAAGAAGATTTTCAGACTTTCCAAAAATACATTCAAAAAATAGCTTTTTCCGAGGAGCGCCCAGGTTCCTAATGAACATTGATGGAACTTTGATAATCATTTTAGAGCCGAACTTTTGAAAAAAATGAAGAAATCTCAATTTTTTTTTCTCGAAAATCAATAAGCTAACTGGTTCGTGAGTATTTTAAGACTCCCCCCAAACTGCCTGCCTTTTATCTGTAAAAAATACTCTAGTGGTCACTTAAGTGGGTCCTCAAGGACTACTCGGAGAGGGCTCTAAAGTGGTCACTAAAACCACCCCTGTAGAAGTCGCAGCATTGCGTCTGAGTGGCCACTTAAGTATTTTTCCCCTTCGGTCGGGCCGCCACAGGGCGCATTGCGGGTTTACCCAGGGCCAACCGTCTCATTATTAGATCTCCCACCTCAACCGACGCCTTCATCTCCTCGTACTCAAAAGTGAGCAACTTTGACTGCGCATCAACTAATCGGAAGTCCAGTTCAATGCTCTGAGACCCGTTGCAACTGGTCACTTCGTTCAGCAGCTTGTTCATCTTCGTCTCGTTCAAGGGTAGAAGTTCGATCCTTGATCCCGACAAGGAGAGTGACGTCAGAGCTGAAATCAAATCGTTTCAGCACTTCTTCGCAATTGAAACTCACCATGATCACAATGATCTGCGACGAAGCCGTCATGACATCGACAGGTGACGTCATCGCCAATTACCACGCATTCTCCTTCGCCACACGCGACGTCTTCACAGAGATTCGTAGAAGTCGGTTTTTTGGCTTCTGGGGACTTCTTCTTCGAAATTTCCGTCTCACAACGGTCACCAGTCCAGGAAGGGGGACATTTGCAACTGGAAAAAGGTCGATAAAGGGTTGTTTGAAAATGAGTTTGGAAAAAACCTTAACTGGAAACATTTTTAGTGGCCACTATAGAGGCTCGCCAAGGACTACTTGGAGAGGACACTTAAGTGGCCACTAAACCCACCTCTATAGTGGCCACTATTTTCCGTTTTAGTGGCCGCTTCAGTATTTTTTCATCCAGTATTCCTTCCAGTAACTCTGATGAGTTTAAAACAAACATATTGGATCAGTTATGATGATACATTGCCCCTAAAGTGGCCACTAAAAATTTTCGCTTTTTGTATTCACCTTGGCTCGAGTTGTCCAACAGGAAGAAGGAAAACTGTCGAATTCTGTCGAGTTTCGAGGAATTTCGACGGTTCGGCCCATTTAATGACCGCTTGGCAACTGATAAAATCACTGATATGATTCATATAAATATTATTTTCGAACCTAGCCCCGTTCAAGCAAAATCCGTCATCGCAGACTTCATTTTCAATAATCAGCGGCTCCAAATAAGACGGTCTAGTGCGATCGATAAAGCTTTGCAAGGTGCGGCGCGATTCTCCGGTGCTGAGTCGCATATCGTTGCGATCGATGAGCGATATTGCCACTTCGTATTCCTCATCGGCCGTGTGTTCACGTGCGGCGAGGATGTGGATCTTCTGAAAGTTCTTGAAATATTAAGAATTTTTTTCGGTTCATGAAATTTTTTGAATCAAAAGTTGTAACATAACAGTTCTTTTTTCGTTTCAACAATCACAAAAAAAAATTTTCAATTATAATTCTCTACGTGAAATGAACAGAAGACTTTAAATTTCAATAATTGCAAAAAAAAACCTCGAAAAAAATTCCTAAATATACTCATCTTAAACCAAAGAAAAAGCTCCGAAAGCCAAGGTCCAATAACTTCGAAAAATGACTTTTTTCAATAATTAGAAAACAATTCTAGACACGGACATTGGTTACGCAAAACGGGCGTTCCTGGGCATTTCTAGTGACCACTTTAGTAGCGTCAGCACTCTTAAGTGATCCCTAGAAATGCCCAGAAACGTCCGAGTTACCAATGTCCGAGAAAATTCTAGAAAAAAACCATTTCAGAATTTTTTTCAAATAGTTCATGCGCAAAACACGAAAAAAATGCTGGAAATTTGGATTTTTAGGAAAAAAATACAGTTTAAATTCTTTGAAAAAAACAGGTAAATTTATTGAAAAAAATTAACTCTCGAAACCTATTTTTTTGGACCTTTTCATAGTAAAAAAACTTTCGGGACCTCAAAATTTCCAAGAAAAAAACCATTAAACTTCAGCCTCAATCTTTTTTTAAATTTATTTTTTTCCTCCTATATTCTCACCAAAACCGATTTTTTTTTTTACTTTTTTACGGTGAAAAAAATTTTTTTCGGGTCCTTATAAGTTTCAAAACAAAAAATCCTTAAACCTCGAGTCATAATATTTTTTTTTCTTCTTCAAACTCACCATATCCTCATAAGCCTCCCGGAAAGTCCTCACAAACTCGGCTAGCGCAAATTTTCCCCCCAAGAATCGAAAAGAAATCGCAGATCCTTTATCTTCAACTTCTTCTTCGAAAAAGCGGATAGTATATTTTTCGGTGGCATTTTTTATCGTATAAGCTTCCGAGACGATTTCAGAAATGCTGGAGAACTTTCCGATCAAACTACAGTCCTCCAAGATCTAAAGTACATTTTAACGTGCTAAATTTAGGATACTGTATGTACCGTGTAGTCATTTCCAACACTGGGAACACATTTGGTTCGTTTTGATGAGTCCAAAGAAGCCGGGGAGGCATCACCGATTGTGAATTTGTTCCGTGAAGGGATCGACAAGCTCCGGACCAAATAAATAGTTAAATCCATGGATTCCGGAAGAGGACTGTCGACTTCATCATCAACAAAAATCTACAAAACCTTTCAAATTACTGATGAAACTTTCTAAATATACCGTAACAGACTCCATTCTCCTTTTGCCTTTGCCTTGATTTATCGTAATAGGGATACGGTAGACGCTGCGGCTTTCTGCGTTAAGTGGAACAACGTTTGAAAGATGACCTTGCTCGGTTAGGGAAAAAGACTGGAAGATCAGTTTTCGAAGAAATCTTCGGGAAGTCCCAACTTTTCTCAAATAATCGTCAGCTATGTGGTAAGTGGCATTGGGGAATCCACTGAGCTTGGTCAAATCTCCTTTGGAATTCTCTCGGATGAAAACTTTGTTGCCAAAGATGCGGTCCTCGTTGTAGTTGGTGACTGTTATATAGGCTAGAGATCTCGTTCGGATAGTTCCATCGCGAGTTTCGATCTGGAAAAATGACACTTTTTGATCAACACGAGTGTATATTGAAAGGGCAGAGTCTCAAGATCCAAAAACTGTGGAAGAAATAAAAGTAGGAGTTTAAAAAATACCAATAATAAGACCATTTTTTTAGCCTTTACCAAGTTTTTCAATTTTTTCTAAGATTTCAAGAGCTTAAGAAAGGGAAGAATTTGCAAAAAGAGCCAATTTCGGCTGATGGTAGCATAAAGGTACCTTTTTCCAGGCGTCAGGAAATGCTATAAAAATCTTGGAGGGCTCTCGATTTCCCCCATTATGCAAAATATTCTACAGATCTGCCCAGCAACTCGATAAGGTTTATATTTTTCTCGATAGGTCAGTTATTTTTTATTTCTAAAGCCGATCCGGTATCGACTAGCTTGTCCCCAGGAACAACAACTAAAAACCCCTATAAGGACCACTTTTGCAAGCCTTAGTGGCCCTTTTAGGGGTCGGTAAAGTGGTCCCTAGAGACCCACCAAGGGCCCTAGGGGGGACCCCCTGGAGTTCCCAAGTATGTTCTTTCTCTTACCGTGATCCAAAACTGCTCGATACCCGGCTCCAACGGTCCACAGACAATTATTGACGTTTCGCTGACGCAAAATGGAAAAATCCGGGGATTTCCAATGGGAACAATCGCGAGTCGGGCATCATTGGGTAGCAGAAACGGGTATTGGTGAATTTGAGTGCCTTTTGTCGATTTTTGGGCGACGGTCCAGTTGAAATGGTCGCTGACAAACGTCGGCCAAGGAGCTCTATCGTCGGTGGTGATGAACAACTTCGATCTGAAATTGGAAAAGTTGAATAATTCTTCTGAATTGTGCATTGAAAGTTGAAATAATCATTTGAAAGTGCTTTTTTATAATTAAAAAATCAAGATTTTAGTTAGATAAATAACCAAATTTTGATCAAGAAATGTAATTTTTGACCTGCAATTGAAGCGGTTTTCTTTATGGAGCATCAAAAAACTCCTAGGGGGGGTGAAAAAACCAGAACTAGAAAAAAAAAAATTAAAACAATCTCCTTGTACATTTTTTGCACCAAGAATGGACTGGAAAAACTAATTTTTCTTTGAAAATGACTAAGACTAAATGTTTCTTCAACACCCACGGTCCTACTTTCTATTATTATCTCTTCATTTTCTGATATTTTTCCTTAAAGATCACTATTACCTAGCCAACCGCCGCGAAAACTTGTCCTTGGCATAAAAATCCAGCTCAGAAGTGTTATTGAGCCGTTTCTTCACAACGACCACGTCATCAGCCGCCGAAATTTCCTCCGTCCGTGGCAAAATCAAGGGAATCGATGTTTGGAAAAGTATGGTGTCCATCAGGGCGCGTTTGGCCGTGTTCAGGCGAATCGGATTTTCGAGTGACGGATTTTGAGGGCGCATTTCGAAGAGCTGGATGATCTGAAAATGAAACATGAGTCTGAAAACTTGAAATTGAGACTAAAATATAGGGATACATAGACAATCCCATCATTTCCTGGATTTATTCTGAAATTATACCGTTTTTCCATTCTCTCCTTCGAAATCCACTGTTTCCGCGGTTTCAGAAACCACGCAGGACGTTCTATTTCCGTTGAAAAAATCGCAAATATTCTCATTTTCCATTGTGATCTGAAAAAATGGCATTTTGAAACAATTTTCCTGAAATTCACCGCCAGCTTTATACAGAAAATCACTAAAAACCTGAACTTAGGAATTCCAGAGTGGTCCCTATAGGGGTTAGGGAGGAAAACACCCCCCTCTGGGGACCGAAAAAGTGTCCCCTATCAGGGTAAAATAAAGGTGGTCCCTATAGGGGTTTAGTGTCTGACCCCTTGGCCCCCTAAAGCTCAAGTGGACACTATAGGGGTCTCAATTTCATTCAAAAAACGATTATTTATCCAGTTTTCATGCTTTTTCGCTCAGAGTTCATAAAAGTTGTCGACTAGCTTGTCTTTTGCAAGTGGCCCCTATAGGGGTTGGTAAAGTGATCGCCCCTATAGGGACCACTCTGTAGTTCCTAAGAATCTCTCATTTTCGCGCACTATTTCATCAAAATTCGCCTCAGTTCAAAAAAGGATTATTTTTCACTCACCGGCCAGTTGAATTTCTCCAAAATCACATCAGAATTCGATCGAATAACAGATAATTCAATAATAATCGTCTCTAAAATCACAAAATTTGTTCAACATAGTTTTCTAGGCGTTTTAACCATTGATAAGCGGCCAAATCCCATCATTGACATCGATTCGAATTTTTTGGATTCCAACAAAAGTCAAAGGCTTCTTGACGAAAATCGTTCCATTGATTTTGACGTCGAAAAATTCCTCATCCAGGGAATAAAAGTATAGTTTCGAGGAATTTTGGGACAATTTTCCAACAGATGTTCCAGGAAGCGCGTTTTGATGGATTTGGTATGAGGTCCTGGAAAAAATCTTTCTTTTTTGGATAAAATGGAGAATTCTCAGTTCTACGATTCAAAAGAAACATATAGCTGATTCACGGCCAGCTTGAAACGCTAAGGGGGCGTGTCCTGTCTGCGCTCTCCACGAGCCAGGCGCTATCTCGTGCATTACCGTGTCAGGACCCGTTCTCGATGAGTAAAGCCAGCCGTGATCGCAAAAATCTTCATAAAATCAATCCTCACCCGATTTTTTCGATTTCCGGAGCTCTCCTCGTCAAATTCTCTACAGTTACACCGAATTCAAACAAGTCGAGATTTACATCATCAAATACAGAAATCTTCCCAGATTTCTTCATCAAAAGCTCGCCTTCTGGAGTCACTTCCATGGAGTCGCTTGGCCAGAAACGCAAGTTCTGATAAGATAACTTGATTATTTCCAAATTAGATTTTTACCGAGTTGGCCGAGAGTGGGAATCGTCCAATATTGTAGGGAAGTTCGGGAACAATAACCGGAAAATGAAGAAAATTCTTCAGAAGGTGTTTCGAAACGACAGTGACGACACTTTGAGACGATTTTGAAGGAACTCCGTTGTCTCGGGCCACGACGTTGAGCTGAAATTCGGAAAACTTCTTGATCTTGTTTTGAAAAAATGCGAGGCTTGGAAAATCCTTGATTTTCCCGGCTGCTGTCGTATAGCCGCTTCACGACTAACTTGAGACACTAAGGGGGCGTGGCCTGTCTGCGCTCTCCACCAACCAGGCACTATCTCTTTTATTATCGTGTCGGGACCTTTTTTCGACGGCTCAAGCCAGCCGTGAATCAGCTATAGTACGAAAAAAGTTTTTGGGTGGAGTTTTGTGTAATTTTTGTGAGATTACTCTTTTTCGAGGAACAGGTTCTGAAAAAAAATTTAAAAAAACAGATTTTTAAAACATTTTTCTGGCTCCGAAACTAACGGAACCGACCGCCTTAGCACTCTCTCAAACATGCGTTTTTAAAATATTTTCAATCAATTTTGAGATTTTCTCGAACTTCAGCTTTCCCTGTCCCTCTCAAACGTTAAAATACTAAATTTAAAATTTTAATAACTACATCTTGAAAAGCCTTCATCGACGCCTTCTGAAGCCTCGTCACGACGCCAGAATCCGCTTCAACCCGAAAACTCGTGAACAAATCGACTTGTTCATAAGAGATCCGACCATTTTCGCCTTCATCCAAGTCGTGTGCCTTCAAAATTCCCAGAACGTCCGTAGCTTCCTGTAAGAATCGAATATTCAACTGTTAAGCTTGTTGATAACCACTTCAATCATTAGAAGAGATGAAGGCTCTTCAAAAACGGGCAAGTTATCATTAACATCCAGGATAACTATAACAACTCGAGTTTGGATCGACCAAACTCCATCGTCCAATTGAACTGTGAGTCGATATTGAGCGTTCTGAAAAAAAATTTTCAGAAATTTCAAGGTTGGAGAGTTTTCGAAACTTGTCTGTAAATGAAAATACTTCATTATAAGTCAAAAAAAAAACTTCTTCTGCCTTTTAATATAATTAAAAAGATTTAAAACCCTAGTAATCTTTTTCTTTTTCTCCATTGAAGCAGTAGAGCTTAGATTTTAAAGCGTTTAAACTTAACTTAACTTAAGATTTCAGAGTGGTCCCTATAGGGATTAGGGAGGAGAACAGCCCCTATAGGAACCACTTTTGCAATCTTTAGTGGCCCCTATAGGGGTTGGGAAAGGGTTCCAAGAGGGAACCCTTCAAGGACCCTAAGGTCCCCCCTATAGGGACCGCTCTGGAAGTCCTAAGGCAGAATTTTTACGGATTTAAAAGTAGGGTGTCCTAAAGTACCTTGGAAAATTTTTTTAACAAATTCTTCAAAAATATAGCTCCTTTTCACAGTATTTAATGTTCAAAATCATTTTTTTGTGTTATCAATAAGAATCAAAACAAAAAAGTGCAAAAAATTTGGAACGCTTCACGAATTTGCGTGTCATCCTTGCGCAGGGGCCATGCTAATCTTCTCTGTATTGTTCCAATTTTAGTATATGTTCTCGGAAGAACGAGGGGACACCTGGCGCGATCGGTTATATACCCCTCTGTTCTGATGCAAGCGACCCGCGCCGGTTTTCGCGCCATGTTTAGACTAGGCCAAAGATAGACGTTTTCTTTAATAACTATGCAAAGAATTCAAAGTCTCATAATGATAATTTCATAATTGAATTCCTATGGCGTGCAAATGAGCAGAGAATGAAAAAGACAACTAAATTTTTGAGAGTCAGAGATGATTTTGGATTTTGCGAAAATTAGTTTCAACGCCACAATAACTTATACAAAAAACCGCAGTTTTTTCAATATTTTAAACCATTTTTGAAATCAAAACCTCTTCCCGATCCAAGGCTCTGGACACAAAAACATCTCCCGTCGATTTTTCGATCCTGAATGGGACTTCAGAAGGTTCGACGATCGAAAAAGAATGATTGGCCGGGCCGTCAGGATCCGTAGCCGATAAATGGACCACCAAGGAGCCGACCTAAAAATATATGAATTTTCAAAAATTTATCTTTTTTTCATTCAAACCGGCACGTCTTCCATTACTTCGACATGGAAAATTCGCGAAAATCGTGGGGCGTTGTCGTCTTCATCTAGCACGGAAATCTGGAAGAAACCTCCATTTTTTTGAAAATCGTAATAAAAATTCAAAAAAACCAAGAGAAACTAGAATCTCAATGTAAATTTGTCGTTGTAGACTTCCCTCAAAATAGCGATTTTTTTAAACTTCCTTCATTCTCCACGACAAGAGTCCCTGTACAACTAAATAATCGTCAAGAAAATTCAAATTAACCTCCCTAAATATTTTCTTAAGCTTTATTTTTACATTTTAGAAAGTTTATCAAACGCTGTAGAACTCTAAAAATGGCTAGAAAACCTTGAAAATCGAAAAAAAAAACAAATTTTTCTAATTAAATATACGATTTCCAGCTTATTCAAAAATATTTTCTTTGATTTTCCACCTCAACAACAGCCGTCGAACTCAAAGCCGGCACCCCTTGATCCTCGGCTCGAATAATCAATCGATAACTTTCAAATTTCTCTCTATCCAACTCCTTCTTCGTTCTGATCATCCCATTCTGGTCAATTTCAAACTCGTTTCTCGGGTCTCCTGGAAATGAATTTAATCATGATCTCTCAATTCAATCTCACCACTGATAATACTATACTTGATAACACTATTCTGGCCTTGATCCGGATCCTCAGCGAGAACTTTTCCAACAACTTCGTCCGCCAAGTTTTCCATCACATTCATTTTGTAAAGAACCTAAAAAAAAGTTTTTTTTTGATTCTTACGATCAGAATCAATGAAATTGATGGGAGTATTTTGAGAGGATATCTTAAGGGAAAATTATATAGTTTCAAAGATATGACCCTTCGGAAGACGACAATTAAAAATTTAATACATTTTGGGTTTCAAAGTTAAGAAGCTGACAAGAAATGCAATGAAGAAAAATGAAAACGGCAATTTTTTCGAATAAGCCGCCATTTTTATAACCCTCGTCTACTACATAGTCACAAAATCAAAAAAACCCTTCTCATTAAAGAAAAAAAATTTCATCTCTCAAAAATTTTCAAGCTTCATTTTTTATACTGCCAAGTTTTTAGAGTTCCATCAACTTTCCTGGGAAGATTTTTAGTGGCCACTATAGGGTTTTGACGTTTTAGTGGTCGCTATAATTTTTAGTGGCCACTTAAGGGGTTTAAAGTTAGTGGCCACTATAGAGGTCTTAGTGCTACTACTGGACTACTGAGAATTTTAGTGGCCACTTTAGGGATCAATGGATCAAAATAACTGGTCCAATCTGTTTGTTTTAAAATTATCAGAGTTACTGGAAGAAATACTGGATGAAAAACTACTGAAGTGGCCACTAAATAGAGAATCTCTCAAGTGGCCACTAAAACGGAAAATAATAGCCACTATAGAGGTTGGTTTAGTGGCCACTTTAGTGTCCTTTCCAAATGGTCCTTGGCGAGCCTCTATAGTTCTTTTTAAGTCTTGAATTTCCAAAATAATCCATTCCTGACCTCCGTAAAAACCGGCGCTTCATCATTGACGTCAATAACTTCGACTTTCAAATACGTCAAACTGGAAGTCGACGGGCTGGCCGTTTCATGTTGGGCAACGATCCAAACATGGCAAATCTCATGCTGTTCTCGGTCAAGGGTCTTTCTGCAAAAAATCATTTTATTTTATCGAAAAAAAAAGAGAAAACTTACAAGGATGAGAGAACCCCGCTGGTCTGATCAATCTTTAAGTGATCTCGACAGGGCGAGATCAAACTGTAGCGGATTTTGCCGCCAGAGTGAGGTTTAGCTTGGAAAACGACCGAATTTCCAGCTTGGTGTTCTTCGACAGACGTCGAGGGAAGTCGTTCGACCCATCTGAATGCATTATTTGAAAAAGAGACATCATATAGTACTTGAAGTCGAATTTCACGAAAAGTTATGTTTTTTTGTAGAGAAAAATACATAGGACGCCCCGAACAGAACTAAAAAAATTGAGCTTGAAATTAATTTTTTTCCCTGCTTGTATTTATTATTTATCTATTTCTTTTTTTCAGAAACGATTTCTCAAATTACAGAAAAAGCGATTGAATATAAATTAAAAAGAGAAGAAAAAAATTTGATGATTTTAGGACCAAAACATTGGGTGAATATCTCCCAAAAAATCTGTAAACGCTTACAAAAAAAATTATAACGGTGCGATAAATGTCTCAAAAGTTCTCTTTGAAATTAGAAGGGGTGTTTCTGTACTAAAGCTTTTATAAGAGCCTCTCTAAAATTCAAAAAAATACACAAAGCTTTCAGGACATGGGCATACATGTGATAGTCTCGGTTGGACCTGAAAAAAAGGGAGGGGGCAGAAAGCCGTGAATATTCAAGGTGCGCGCTTAGCTTTCGCCAGTCATGCTCATCCCATATAAGGACATGGGTACTTGGCAATATTTTACATTTTCGCTTGTTTTTTTTTTCAAATTTCAATTATTCTGGTTTGGCAAAAAGTAAGGCTCTTCCTTATTTTTAATGCCAAGAACAATGACGTCATTCAAAACGCTCTGTGAATGGCTCGCTCTCTGATTGTTCTATGGGCGGAGTTTGACCTACGACTTGTCATTCAGCAGACTATATAATCCTCACTTCGGGAAAAGCGATGCCGGCTGGATGTAGAAGGTGAAGCTGGCACTCGTCGTATGATTGGCCCTATCAGCGACATGAACAGAAACAGCAAAGTAGGATTTGGAGACGAGTTGTTGCTGAACCAAGGAAATCAACTTTTCCACTTCATTCAATGAATATCGACAGTCTGACCTATCTGCGCTCTCTTTTCTCTAACCAACCAGTCAAGTTATAGAAACTTGAAAAAGCACGTAAACATGAGAGAGCGCAGAGGGATCATTGAATCAGTTATACGAACCGCACAAAGGATTTCTGCCTTCTCGTTGACCGAAAAATAATCGACGTCAACTCCAGCGAGTTCATAACGAATGACGTCATGAAGATCGTCATCTTTGACGTCGACGACGGCTACGAGGTCGCCTGAAAGAACAAAAAATGATGAAAAACGCAAATTCCGTTTAAAACTCTGGTGATGAAGGCGTAAAAACTTCCAAGTATCAAAAAAAAAATAATGAGGTACCTCCATGAAATTTTTTCATGCGCCTTTAAGAATGGCACTTCTATAATCAAATCCCTATCAAGCTTTTTATGAATTTTCGTGACAATTTCTAAAATCTTGAAGAACTGATCAATTTCAGACGTAGACGATTAAAATTTGAAATTTCCCTGAAACGTAGAAATACCGGTTCACGTTTTTTTTTCGACCATTTTTCTCAAAAAAAGAAGATTTGAACGTTTTTAAATTCGTTCAAAGGAAAAAAAAAACAATACTTGGACGACAACTGTACTTTCCATGAACAGAATTTTTGAATATAGATGGGACAAATTAATCATTTATGCATTAAAAAAGAAAGTGAAACATTTCTCTGGATGTAGACATTGAAAAATCCTTTCTGAACTGAATGAAGGAGCATAGATATCCGGTCTCAAGACGATAAGCTATTTGAAAAATTATCTTGACCAGGCAAAACTACTCGCAAAAATTTTCAAACTAGAATAAACACCTGAAATGAAATGCAAATGAAAAAATGAAGATTTTATGAACTCCAGAACCATTTTTCTTTTTTTTCCCTGTGCCTTTCTCACCTGGCTGAACCGTATTCGGAACATAAAGATCCAAAAGTTCATTGATAACGATCGGACTTTCATCATTGACGTCATCAATTTTGATAGTGACGTCAACAGAAGACGAAAGAGAGCTTCTAAAAAATAACTGTTTTGAGGAATTTGATGCACAGCCAAATACTTTGCTTGATCCGTTGCAGTAACAGTGAATTTCCAAAAACCTCGAGATTCTCGATCAAGTTTCTTCAGCAGCTTGACATTCCCATTAGCGGGGTCGATTTCGAAGGGGACGTCTTTTTCCTGGATTTTGTACCTGAAAATGATCATTTTAGTCTTCTCCTTGAAGTTTTGCAGCTTTTTGAATAAAAAAATTACGATTAATTCTTTATAAAAAAATTTTTGAAGAACAAAGAATGATCAAACTACACAGGTTTTCGCAAAATTTGGAATTGGCAGTCCCAAAATTTTCCAAGCCCAAAAATTGGCAGTCCCATAAATTTCCAAGCCTAAAAATTGGCAGCCCCAAAATTTTAAAGTCTAAAAATTGGCAGTCCCAAAATTTTCCAAGCTTAAAAATTGGCAGTCCCAAAAATTAGCAGTCCCAAAAATTGGCAGTCCCAAAACTTTCCAAGCAAAAAAGTGGCAGTCCCAAAATATTCAAGTCTAAAAATTGGCAGTCCCAAAATATCCAAGCTAAAAAATTGGCAGTCCCAAAGTTTTCCAAGCTCAAAGAAAAGACAAAATCCGCTACATGTATTTTTCAGCACTAAATTTCAATTTTGTGTTCAGAAATTGTCGAGGAAGTCTGTTAAAAAGCTATTTTTGAAAAAAATTATCCGTCTGATCTCTATTTTTTTCTTGATAGTGGACAAGTCGAAAAAAATCGGTTCTTTTTTTCAAATCAGCTAAAATATTATTTTTTTAAATATTTTTCCCCATGATAAACGTATCCCAGAGGTGCTTTGAGAAATCACTTTTTGCACTTTGACCGCCTATAATTAAAAAGAATTCTTAAGTTAGTTTTTGAGCAAAGCTACTGTATATGACTAGCTTGAAAATTCCAAGAAAAAAGACTAAAATAAAAAAATTACAATATAGTCGAATTTTCAGCTTCATCAGGATCCATGGCGGTAATCGAAGCAATGGCAGAACCAATTTTCAAATCTTCCTTGACTCGGACAAAATAATAAGGCTGTTCAAATTCAGGAGCGTTGTCATTGACGTCCAAGGCGTGAATCTGAAGAAAAATCATCATTTTTCACAGAGACTCTCAAATTTACAATGATAGTAGCCGTCGCTTTTCGTCTCGGCTCTCCGCCGTCCATCGCTTCGACCACGATTTCATGAACTTTCTTTTCTTCTCGGTCCAAAGGTCCCAAGCAGAGGACTTGGCCTGGAAATCAAATTTCTTTTGCTCACAAGAAAAATTTGATCATACAAAATTTGAAAATTCGTCAAAATCAGCTCAAACATAGTTCACAGCCTCTTGATTCCAATTCAAATAAATTTTCCCGCCTCTTACCTTTACCCCATTTTTCAACGCTTCTTCATAGCTAGACAAAAAAAAAGAAGTTTTTTAGGGTCTTTTAGGCGTCATAACTTGACCAGAAAGACGAAAGCGCATAAAACAATTTTTTGATTGGAGCCACAACCTCTCGAAATACGTCTCAATTTATTTACAGTGAAATCTCTTATTTTACACTCCTGGTGCATGGGAAAATGCTAATTGATCAAAATATTATTAAAAATTCAACCCTTCCAAAAGCTATGAGATTATTTTAAATATTTATAAGCTTCTTGAATTTCACTTAATTACCAAGAGATATCCCAAATTTCTCTGCTCAAATGAATAAAATGGAATCATTTTTGAGAGGTTTTAAGATTTCTACGATGTAAATCGGGTTTCGGATCAGAAATTCATCATTTCAGGCCTCTTTTCTTTCCAAACCCATTCTTTTTGAATCGATTTCGGTTTGCAAATTCAACCGAATCCACTTTTTTCGGATCAGTTACTTACCAATCCGGATCATATATTTTCAATCAAACCCTAGAAAGTTTCCTAGTACTGTTCACCATATTTTAATTATTGATAACCCACCATTCGTCGAATTTACAGCAAAAATACTCGTATTCCCATGAAGTACACTATAAGTGAGCTGTCCACAAATCCCTTCGTCCAAGTCCTCAGCAATGGAGCTTCCAATGATCATCGGGAAAGATCCGCCGAAATTTTCCTCGACGAAAAAATGGACCAAATCGCCAGTGATAAACCTGGGCGATTCATCATTCTCATCAATGAGGTTGATGAGGAGGTTTCTGAATTTTTCCTTCTTCTTCAAAATCTTCAGGTCTAAAACCGGCTAATCGTCGGGAAGGCATCGTTAACCAGCGGAACAGCCGAAATGGTCAGATTGTAGGATTTTCGGCGTTCGAAATCCAATGGGCCGTTGACGGAAATTGTTCCATCGACTGGTGAGATCAGGAATGTCGCCAAGTCATCTTCAGAAGTCAGTTTGAAGACGTAGCCATCTTCAGGATTCAGGACGACTTTTGTGATGACAGTGCCCCGTTTTGCGGTCTGAAAAAGAAAATATTATTTTTTTTCCACTAGTTTTCAATAATTGATTGGACATTTTTTTTAGCTTCCAAAAAAAAAGCGGTCAAGTATTTGTCAATGGATCCCGAGAACGCAAGAACCAAGAATTAGAAACAAGTAGAACGACCCAAGTCGCTCCTCGAGAGCTGTGGATAACCCACTGACTTCGGACCGCTTCCCTTTCTATCGCACTTCCCTTGGTTTATATAGGCGGCCGTCTTTTTGCGCCAGACCAGCACATTGTTTGATAAGGAGGCAATGACTCGTGGCATTGCGAAACGTTACACAAGTCGGTTAGAGTCGGGCGCATCTCTCCGGCCGTCTATATAAACCAGAAACGAATAGAAAAATTAGAGTCGGGCGCATCTCTCCGGCCGTCTATATAAACCAGAAACGAATAGAAAAAGAAAGGAAGCGGTCCGAAGTCTCTGGGTTATCATCAAACCCTCCCATTGGCAAAAACTTGACTGCTTTTTGCATAAAATTGAAAATCTAGTAGTTTTTCGATGAACTTGTTTAAACTGAGTTGTTAAACGTATCAAGTTAAATATTTTGACATTCCTTTTAAAATTTCCAATAAAATGAGATAGATTAAGCTTGAAAGCGTGACCGGCGTTTTACACAAGTTTTTCACAATATTCGAAAAAAATTTTTTTAATAGAAAGTTGATTTTTTTGAAGCGAGAATCGATAGTCCCAACTTTTCAAAATGAAAAAAATTACAGTCCCAAATTTTTCAAAACAAAAAAATGAAAGTCCCAAACAAAAATTGGGGGTCCCTAACTTTCAAAAACAAGTGATACTCCAACCTCTTTTTTTAAATAAACATTTTTTTAAACGGATCAAGGCGGATGTCAACATCAAACCATGGCTTTCGGAAAAAAATAATATCAAAATCACCACATTTTAGGCTTAAAGGAACGCCCAAAATCATCACTTTCCGTTTTTTTTTTCATTTTTCAAAATGTTAATATGGAAACTTTCCGTTTCTCTCACCTCCTTAACTTCCAAAACCTCCTGATAATTCACGAAAATCGGCGCTTCTCGACCATTTTTCTCTTCAAATCGGACGTCCACAGAAACTTGGCACTCCCCGGAAAGTCTCGGTTCTCCATCATCAGTCACTCGAACTCGCATCTCGTAAATCCCACGGGAGACATTTTTATGGACCTTAAGCATACAATTCATGTGGATGATTCTAAAGGCAACTTTTCATGTTAAAAAAAAAGTTGAAAAGGACCATAAAGGCTGAAGATAAAAAAAACGATGAGTGCTTTTTTTTTTACAACAATTCATTGGACCGTGCTTCAATTTTAGCCCATTTTCCTTGATTTGAATTTTTTTTTTCAGAACTTTACAAACTTTAATGTCTCCTGTCACTGCGTCAATGATAAACTGTGCATGGGGGAGGCTTTTCGGCAAGATTCGGTACATAGAATGACGATTTTCCTCATCGAAATCGTGGTCACGAGCTGGGACGCGGCCTGAAAAGTAACAAAACCTTTAAAAAAACTTTTAAGAGCCCATGAAAATTTCATATATGACGTCAAATCCTCTCAGTGTAATTTTGAGCTCCTTATAAATTTACATCCAATTTATGAAAGATTCCAATTAAAAGTCAATTTTATCATAGATAGTATAGAATTTTTGACTGTAGTTTCAGACCTTCTTGAATATCGTTAATGTATTTTTTCGCGTTCAAAAACTTGAAAATCTAATCTTCAAAGCTTAGTGTTCCTTTATTATTACGCTATTATTATTATTATTATTATTATTATTATTATTATTATTATTATTATTATTATTATTACAATTTATTATTATTATTATCTATATTTTTTTATTCCTTATTCCATGTATGTATGGTCTTAAAATTCGCTCAATTTTTTTCTCTGGTCCAAAAAAACTGCGCCCAGCGACAAGCAAGTGCAGAGACGCAGAACGAAAATTACGAAATTCAGCAAAAAGTCGGGAGGAGTCTGGCGCAGGCTGGCGAGAGGGTATATAACCCCTGGGCGTTTTCATAGAAACGGCGCGGTCCGAAGTCAGTGGGTTACCCCTTTCTGGAAAAAAGGCGCAGCCGGCTTGCCGTGTCTGCGCACCCCCTTCCCATTGGCACCAACTTGACCGTGCTTTTTTGCAGAATTTAATTAATTTTATTACTAAGTGTTTCATAAAACGGTTGTTTTTTGAGGGAAAAATGCCGGAAAATCGAGTAATATCGTTGGAAAGGAAGATCTTATGACTTTTCCATTATAATGTGCGTATAAAATGGCTTTTCTTGACTTAATTTAGGTTATTTTTGAAGCGTCATAAAATATCCATTTGCTGAGAATAAAGATATCCGATTTGTTTTGATTCAAAAAAATAAGCAAGTTCAGAAAGATGCGATTATTTTAAAAATGTATTGACCGCTCCTTGAGAGAAAAAAAAATATATAAGGTATATAAATGTATTAGGAAACTAAATGGCTTCCAAACAGTCGAAAAAAAAACATTAGGCCGTGAAAAATTTATGCAGAAAGACCATAATTTTCTGTGAAGTCAGAAAAAAGCTGCCCCAAAAACTATCCCACCTATGACGTCACCAATCTTGACGTCATCCATCAGATAAAATCTGACGTCATCACACGAAGGCGAATTATCGTTCACGTCAAGGACTTCGATGGAAAATTGGGTAGTCGTGCAGGAATCTGAATATTTTATTTTTTTTTGAATAAATTGACTTGTGAAAGTTTCACTACTGGCTTGAGACAAACTTCATCGAGTTTCAGCGAAATAGTGTACAAAAAGGAGAGGTTTAGAATATTTTAAAATTTTTTTAAAACGTGGAACTATTGCCATGATGGAATGATCTCAAAATAACCGGCTCGATTTTTTTTTCTGCGGCTCTAGTCTGTTCAGATTTTGAAAGTCATGTCGTTGCTCAAGCTCCGCCCCTTTTGGCGCGATAAACCAATCAGAGAGCCAGCCGTCCACAGAGCGTTTTCGAATGACGTCATTCTACTTGACACTCAAAATCTAACATGGGAGGTCATTTTAGCGTAGGGTTCAGAATTTTTTATAAATTTGCTCAAACAATCTTTGATAGACAGGGAAACAGACTATAACGACCTCGGCAACGCAAAAACTCGAAAGTGCTGGAGCCTCTAAAGTGATCACTAGAAATGCTCAAATGCTCTTTTCCCGAAATGCTTTATTTTTTTTTCAAACCTGAACCAATATTTTCATAGTCCATCTTATTTTTTACTTATCCCCAAAGGAGCTTGTAAAAAAGTTCAGGCTCATTTTTCTTAGGAATTTCAGAGTGACCTCTATAGAGGTCAGATGGAAGAACAGTCCCTATAAGGTCGAAAAAGGGGTCCCTATAGGGGCAAAATTAAGGTGATCCCTATAGGGGTACAGGGTCTGATCCTTTAGCTCCTAAATCCTAAGAGATCCCTATAGGGTTAGGTGAAAAAACTGCGCCCTATTAAGGTCGAATAAGTACTCCCCATAAGCTCAATCGGTCCCTAAAGAGTCTCCTCCAAGGGCTCCTATAGGGGCCACTCTGATGTTCCTAGCTTTTTCCCCAAAATACCCGAGTTCTACAGATTTTTGTCCCAAGCTAGCGATGAAAAACGTATTTTTTGAATTACATTTGAATGGAGCAACGCCGTCGCACAAATTGATAGTCAAATTGTGGGAAGATGCGATTTCCCTGTCAAGAGGGCGTTTCAGACGCAAAAATCCTTGATGATCAACTTCGAATTGATCAAATGGATCCCCGTGGACGATTTCCAGGCGGAAAAGATTGGCTGAATATTATTTTCTATCAATTTCTTACTGAAGTTCTTTTTCTTCACTCAAAAATCGTTTTTCTGAATTAATTTCTCGATCAGGAAAAATTAATTTCTCAATCAAAAAAAAATTTTTTTAGAAATGACGAGAAACGTATAATTTCCTGGTTGAAGAAAGCAAGTGGGGTAAAAAAATAATTATTCTCTATTTCAGTAAAATAATTTGAAAATAGCTTGTTAAAGTTATTCTAGACATGATAATAATCAAAAAAATTTCTTATTTTTTTCTTAAAATATTCAAAAATTTTTCCATTTTCTCACCATCATCCGAATCGGTCCAGAAAAAAATCTCAAAAATTTGCCCTCCAATCGTGAAATTTTTCGAAAATTTGAACATGAGAAGGGTGATATTTGAAACTGGGACTATTGTCATTTTTCGTCGTCGACGAAAAAAAATTGACAAGTTCCTCTCGACCAAATTCGTCAACCAGCCAAGTTGTATGGAGTTTGGCCTAAAAAAATAAATATTGATTTTTTTGAATAATAATTAAATTTTTGAACCTCTTCATGATCGAATAAAATCTTGGTTCTGATAACGTCATCCTTATCGATTTCCAGGCCAATATCTTCTTTGAATTTGTAATTTTTGAGCTCTGAAATGAACTATGTAACGTTTTCCTATTGTTCTTTTGAATTATAAGCCAAAATTCTGGTTTTTATGTTTGTTGCAATTTTAAAACTCTTAAAACTCACTAAAAGTAACCAAAAAGTCATACTTAGGAATTTTAGAGTGGTCCCTAAAGGGGTTAGGGGGCAAAACAGTCCCTATAGAAGCTGAAAAAGTGGTCCCTATAGGGGTAAAGTTAAGTGGCTCCGCTAGGGATTTAGGGTCTGACTCCTTCGCCGCCAAAAGCTTAAGTGGTCCCTATAGGGGTCTTTCCATTTTATTAAAAACTTAGGTTTTTTTTTAGTTTTTCGCATGAAAATGCTTCTTCGCTCAGAGTTCATAACAGTTATCGACTAGCATGTTTCCTATAGGGACCACTTTTGCAAGCTTTAGTGGCTCCTACAGGGATCGGTAAAGTGGTCCCTAGGAAAGACCCTCCAAGGGCCCCTATAGGGACCTCTCTGAAGTTCCTAAGTAAAACAACACCTCTAGGAAGGACTCCAACAGCCGTTCCAACCGGACAATTCTCCACAATCCAATAATTCAAACTCTCTTCGTCCGAATTGACCAAAATTGAGATCTAAAATCAATTTTCTTGATGAAATTCTGATTAGATTCACATTAATCGGGGCAGAAAGTCGTCCTTTCCTGGCAGTCACTTCCCTCACTTGATAAATTCCTTTCTGAAAAAGTTTGCTCCTTGGGAAATTCTCCTTCTCCGTCACCTCCGCTTTGAAGGACTGTCTAACAATGAGTCGATTCTTCTGAATCTTGTAATGCGGGTCCAGGACTTCGATATCGACGTCATCACGCTTCGAATCGATGATTCCAACTATCGCACCCACTCGGAGGCTTTTCGGGATGAATAGAAACTCTGATCTTGGAATTCTCAACCGGTCCTCGATCCCTTCTACTTTGACCTAAGAATCGAAAAAAAAAATTTTTTGAAGCCCCAGAAAAAAGTTGCACCTTCATCTTGGCCACGCCCGTCTCGACGGACGCCAAAACGACAATTTCCACGTCTTCATAAAGCTTTTTCAGGGCCGTCAATTCCCCAGTATTCGATTCAATTTCAATAGGCGACTCTCCGAGGACGAAATATCGAACGGGAAGGATCGAATCCGCGGCAACACGACCGAAAGAAGATCCTTCAGGGTGGGCCGAAGAAAGGAGCATCAGGGCGGATTCAGAAGGGAATCTGACGTCATCCGAAGGTTCATCGACGATGGCGGTCAGGGTGAACGACGTGGAACGGGACCTGGAAAATACAAGTTTCTATTTTAATCATCTCTAACTTTTCTCCATTTAAATATAGTCCGTTTTGAGTCTTTTTTAAATTATTTCTCGTTCAAATTCCAGACTGGCTTAGGAACTCCAGAGTGGTCAGTGGTCCCTATAGGGGCAACCTTAAAAGCCCTTGGAGGGCTCCCTCTAGAGATCACTTAACCATACAGAAGACACTAAAGCTTGCAAAAGTGGTCCCTACAGCGGTTTTAGTTAGTGGCCCCTGTAGGGGAAAAGCCAGTCGTTGGATGTTCAGAACTAACCATGCGAAAAACTAAAAAATAACCTTTTTTTTAAAACAAAATTGAACGTCCCCTAAAGGGACCACTCAAGCTTTAGGAGCATAGGTGCCTGGCCCTCAACCCCTACAGGAACCGCCAGGGACTGTTTTTTTCCCCTAACCCCTATAGGGATCACTTTAAAATCCTCAAGACCTGTGAAAAACCGAAAAACACGTTTTTTTCTTGAATTGAGCAGGAAAAAAATGTTTTTCGTTATTTTTCTCTCGTCAAACTTCAAAAATTTCCCTTATGAACCTTTAAATTATTTTTTTGGGAGGCAAAATCGCTTTCAGAGGTTAGAAAATTTCCTTTTAAACTCGTTTAAAACTTTTTACCTCAAAAAATGGAGAAAATTCAAAATTTTTTCGCATTTTTTCGTCAAAGAGTGCGTTTGAAAAACCGAAAATGATACAAATTTTCTCAAAAATCCAAAAAATTGTCCAAGGACCTACAAAAAACCCAATAATCTCGATCGGAACACCACGAATAAAACCCCTCAGTCGAAAATAACAACTCTAAGAAACCGAATTGAAACGGGAAACTCACGAATTGGCCTTCTCAACGGCTAGGACATGAACTTCCGTAACCGGCCCGGTCAATTTCTTCAGAATCACTCGATTTTCGGTCAAATCCACGTTTTCCAGGGCTCGGAACTCCAAATATTCTTGGCTTCCATCGATATCTTCGCACTTCGGTGTGAAGCTTATATTCGTTTCTTTCTTGTCGACGAGTTTCACGACAGAGGCGCATTTCGATACATTATCATCCACGTCTTCGACCACGACTCGGATAATCTTCTTATCACTGAAAATTGGTTTGGATTTGGCTTGAAATAAATCCATTTCATTGACTTCGCGTTGCGGTTTTTGGCGGGAAATGCGAATTCAAACGAGAGAAAATGTGCAAACAAGCAGTTCTTGATACTACTGTTTTTTGAAGATGAAAAGAAAAGCCAGTTACTTCATTTAAAAACCAAAATTGACATAAGAACATGGTCTAGCTTCTGCTCAGTTTGAAACCAAAAATACAACTGATGAACCATCTTTTTTAATGGGTCTAACAGAAAAGTTCCATTTAGGACCTCAGAAGGAGCTAAAAAAGTACCAAAGTTCGTAAAATGATGAGGAAAATCTTTCTTTTCGCAGCCTCAGGGGATCTTTTTTTCAGCCCCCGGAGGTCTTTTTTCATAGCATCGGTGGGTCTTTTTTGACCGCTCTGAAATCTTTTCAGTCTCCATTCAGCCTTTCAATAAAGTAAGTGAAAAAAAAATGCGAAAATGAAACAAAATGAGATTAAAAAGGTCTGGTTGGACCCTTTGAAGGTCTTTTTTCGAAAAAATATTTTGATGAGTTTTTCCGTTTTGCCCCAATGACCCTTAAAAGGAGCTAAAAAAAATCCCAAAGTTCTTAAAATGATGAGAAAAGGCTTCTGAGCGCCTTTTTCGCAGCCGCAGAGGGACTTTTTTGGATTCTATGGGATCTTTTCAGTAGCTTTGCAGCACCTACTTATTGAAGGAAAACGTAATTTTAAAAAATCTGTTGTTGACTTTTTTGGAAGAACCTTTCGAGGAGTTTTTCCGTTTTGCCCAAAGACTATTATTCCCTACTTTCTTCTTATTGAGGACCAATATTTTCATCCTTTTCTTGGCAGTTTTAAAATATTTGAAACTGTAAAACCTAGTGAACTTTCGAAAATGAATGAAAATTCGAGCTTTCCAGTATAAAGTGAGTGAAAAATGCTCACGTCTGATTCGAAAAGAAGAGAAAATATTCATCAATGATCTCTCTGTCCAGTTCGGCGGCCGTTTTGACGATTCCATTCTCAGTCAATTCGAAATTGCCCAAGGGTCCGGGAATAACATTAGACAATGAGAAAGATGGAGCGACCGTTGTGATGAAAGCTCCTTTTTGGTTCTCCTGAAAATTATTAGATAACCTTCTGATGAATTTAAAAACACGAATTTCGCGCTTGAATCTCAATCCTTCAACAACATTTTAATACAGGAGTTTTTAGAGCTTTCTATTCGATAAAATCCCTTTTCTAAAGCAAATTTTCACTTTTTAATTGACTTTTTATGAGCCCTATACAGGTTTCTATAAAAAAAAGCTATAGCAAAGAAGCAAAATTTAGCGAAAATTTGAAGAAAAAGCTCAGTTTTTGAAGAATTCCATGAAGAGTTCTCATCAGGATCCGTAAAAAAATATTCGAATATATTTTTAAAAAAACTTAAAATGAACGCCCAAATAATCTTCTGTTCTGAAAAAAACTACTAAAGGAACATAATTTACTGTGAAAAAAGAGAATTTTCGAAATTCCTTGTTTAATCTCAAGACAGGAACCCAGAAAACTGAACAAAAATAGAAAATTCGAAAAAATAGGTTTCGTTTCCCGAATTTTCTTACCTTCACAAAAACCGTCTCGATATCATTTTCCTCCGATCTTGATCCATCCAAAAACTTGACTTCAATTTCGAAATCTCGTTTTTTCTGTCCAGTGGAAGCCACGAAAGTCACAAATTCCGATGTTTCCGAGCTTCTTGGAAGCTTCTCATTGAGATAAACGTTTCCCCAGGTGTCCAGGTAAAATCGAGAGTCTTCCGTCGACCAGGTAACAGGTAAGTTCGAGGCAAAAGCTTTCAGTTGGGCCAATTTAGCGCCAGGCTGATCGTTTGAATAGATTCTGAAAAAACAGAGTTAGACGGAACAGAAAAAAACTTCCAGAACTTTTTTTCCGATTTCAAATTTGCTGTTTAACCTTATTTTCATCCCCTAGGAGCTATGAGCAATATTCTCTTCCTTCCAAACTCATGGTCGCACTGAGAATGGCTCAGAAATGCACTCGACCATAGAACAACTTTCACTTGGCTTTTATTAGTGGCCACTTTAGGGCATTGACGTTCAAGTGGCCACTATAGTAGTCTAAATGGTACTATACTGGGAAAATTTTTAGTGGCCACTATAGAGGCTCGACAAGGACTACTTGGAGAGGACACTAAAGTGGCCACTAAACCCACCTTTATAGTGGCCACTTCAGTAGTTTCTCATCCAGTGTTCCTTCCAATAACTTTGATAACTTTAAAACAAACAGATTGGACCAGTTATGTTGATCCTTTGACCCCTAAAGTGACCACTAAAATTCTTAGTGGTATAGTAGTAGCACTTAGATCTCTATAGTGGCCACTAATTTTTACCCCTTAAGTGGCCGATAATTTGACTACTATAGTGGCCACTAGAACTTCAAAACCCTATAGCGTACACTAAAAATTTGCGGAGTAAACTATTAAAAAATACTAGCCCATTGACCCAAAGTAGTTGCTTCTTTAGAGCCGGTTTTAGTGGCCACTTTAGGGTCCGCTCCAAGTGGTCTTTTAAGTAGTCGTTCGAGTTTTTTGCAGGGAGACATTAGAAAGTTGGTTCACCTTGTGTTTTCTTCTGTTAGACAAAAAGCAAGAGAGCGTGAAATTTTCAGAGAGCGCCAGACACAGCGATCCTCTACTTTTTCAATGTTATCTCGCTACAAAAACGACTAACAAGTTTGAAATTATGCTATTTTTCCGTCCAAAAAGATTTCCTCTCTTTTTCTTCATGTTTTCTTGTCCTTAAAAAACCCACAAAATCGTCGAATCCACAAGAAGACGAGGCTCCACGTTCAAATCAACACCCGTCTTGATCAGAACAAAAATATCCGTTGAAAAATAAGGCGGAGCCAAGTTAACAGCTCTAATCGTGATATTATACATCTGATCGCCTTTCAGAGCCCCCCTGGTGAAGATTTCGCCGGTTTTCGGGTTCACCTGGAAAAAATTTGAACTTCTGACCTCTTTAATTTTTTTTTTGAACCTCAAAAAGCTGGCTTCCATTGACAACTTGATACTCCAAGTCCCGATTTTCGAAGTTTACATCCAAATCTTCAGCTTTCAAATTTCCAACAGAGGTATTCGATGAGAAATTCGTCGTTTCAAACAAATAATATCGATTTTCAAAGATTGGAGCCTTGTCATTCAGATCATCAATGATGACTGTGACTTGGCATTTTGTGGATTTTTCGAGGTGAGCCTATAAATTTGAATTAATATTGAAATCAGAGATTTTTTTGGTACCAAAATCGTTGACGATGTAATTAAATGTGAAGTTTTGCAATTTTTCCGCGTCGAAAGGTTGGAGGGCTTCGATCTGAAGAATAATAAAAAAGTTTCCAAAAATTTCATAATCACAGGTTTTCCGGATGAAATACGTGAAGCAGAGAAGGCTTGATTTATCGAGAAAAAAAAATTTGAAAAAAAAAGAAAGAAAAAAAAAAATGAAAGAAACTAACATTTTCAACACTGAAAGAACATCACATTCAAAATTAAAATCAAAATTATTGCTCATTTTACAAAAAAAAAACAATAACTTTTAAAGATTATGGAACAAAAAACATGAAAAATTCGCCACGAGTTCAAACTGTCTAACTTCTCTGCGTTCTCTCGTCCTTAGCCAACACTTCGGCAACAGACGAGAGAAAAAGAGAGCGCAGAGAAGTGAGACAGCTCCAAGCCGTGGCGGATGAGCTACAGAAATTTTATTTCAGGAAAATTCAAAACTTCAAAATAAAATCAATTTCAAGCCCATTCCAATAAACGGATAATCTAGGGAAATTTTTATCAGAGGAAAATTTAAAGTTTGAAGAAAAAAACTGAATTTCAAGCCCATTCTAATAACTGATGATCCAGAGAAGTTTTATCCTAGAAAAAAATTCAAAAATTTCAATAATTTCAAGCCCATTTTTCTTATCACCCCCTCCGATTTTTCTCTTACCTTTCCAGTCTCCGGGTCCAAAAAAACACCTGATCCCGTCCATCCAACTGCCGATAGGCCAAATAACCATCCAATCCGATATCTTCATCAAAAGCCGTCAGAACTCCAACAAAAGAGCCTTCGGGCTGATTTTCTTTGACATGGAAAATTGAGCCGCCGCAATTGGGAGCGTGCAAATTCGCCCGATTTATAACCACTACGATGTTGGTTTTTTGAGTATTGTTAAGGCTTCTGAATTTCTGTTATTTCACTGAAAATTTGAGTAAGAATGACCTATGATTCCTCGATATCGTCATTTGGATGACGTCACTTTCTCTCCGATCGATCGGCTTGGAAAGATAAATGACGCCATCAGGAAAGACGTCAATAAGCGAATTAGTCAAATCAGTCCGATAAATGACGTCATCAGAAGGTGGAAGGATGCCAAATTTTGATCCAAGGGGCGTGGTTTCATCCAAGAAGAAGACGTAGGTCTTGTTCAAAGGCTTCAGAAGGCTAGTTTCCTTTGTTTTTTCTTGTTCCTGAACATTTTCAAGACGTTTTTTTTTATCATTTGCAGATTTCTGTGAATAGTTAACCGGAATCTATACTTACAAATATTCATTTGTTGTGAGAAGAAGCTAAAATTTAAAAAAATCAACTTATTTCCAACACTTGGGAGATTCGGAGTGGTCCCTATAGGGGTTAGGAGGAAAAAAGTCTCTTTAAGGATTGAAAAAGTAATCCCTATAGGGGTGAAATTAAGGTGGTCCCCATAGGGATTAAGGTCTGTTTCTTTAGCCTCTAAAGCTTGAGTGTTCCCTATAGGGGTTTTGGGTCTCTCTCCTTAGCCTCTAAAGCTTAAGTGGTCCCTATAGGAGTCGTTCGATTACATTCAAAAAAGTTTAACTTATTAGTTTTTCCCATGGAAACGCTTCTCCGCTTAGAGATCATAACAATTATCGACTAGCATGTCCACTATAGGGGGCACTTTTTCAAGCCTCTATAGGAGTTGCTAAAGTGATCCCTAGAAAGGGCCCTCCAAAGGCTCTTATAGGAAGCTGGCGGATTTGATAACTCATTGATCGATAACCAACTGACTTCGGACCGCTTCCCTTTCTATCAGCATTTTCGAGGTTTATATAGGCAACCTTGTTTTTTGCGCCTGACCAGCACATTGTTTGATAACGAGGCAATGACTCGTGGCATTGCGAAATGTTACACTAGTCGGTTGGAGTCGGGCGCATTTCTCCGGCCGTCTATATAAACTAAGAACAAATGGAAAGGGACAGGAAGCGGTCCGAAGTCTCTGGGTTATCATCAAACCCTCCCATTGGCAAAAACTTGACTGCTTTTTTTGCTTTTTCTATTTTTCAAAAAAAAGCGAATATTTATCGGCCATGTTCAAACTGAACGTATAAAAGTTCAAAAAAGAGATTTTTCTGAAACTTTTATCATACGTCGGCTGCCCCCCCCCCCCTTCTCCCCTGAAAAATGCGGCCTATTTCAGTACATTTTCGAAATTTTTTTTCGCTCCAGACTACGTATAATTTTCATTGAGGAGGAAAAGTGAAAATTTTTCAAAGAAGGTTTTTTCACACCAAAAAAAAAACGAAAAGTCCTCACCAAGATCTCCACGTCGACTTCAGCCAAAATCGCTTCAAAAATACGGTGGCGGAGGTCGGACTTCGACTTGTAGACGATAATAGTTCTCCGTTAAATTTCCATCAACCGTAATTATTCCTAAAATTTTTACTTCATTCTAACAAGTTCTAATTAAGAACCATTGTTCAAATCGATGCGAAAAGGCGATTCTTCGCCTTCTTTGATGCGAAATTCGCAATCAGAACTGTTGGTGGTGATTTGGGCCACAAAACTGCCGAAAAGCGAGTTCCGGCGGATTTGAACTTGTTGGTGTTTTCCGACTTCAATGGAGGTTTTGGGGGAGAGAGCTTCGAAGAAGATCTGAATGAAAAATCAATCTTATTTTGAATTCTAGTGATCATTTGAATTGAAATTAAGTATGTGAATGTGCGAAATAGAGACCCCGGAGCTTCCTTTGAACCTCAAATTTTAAATTTGTTTAAGGGACGTTGTTTGAAAGAACGAGAGACGAATATGAGGAAGCTAATTCCAGTGAAAATTTGATCCTACCCCCTATTGGGGACCCTAAACCATATTTTCGGGATTCCGATAGTGGTTGAGTTGGGAGCCCCGGGGGGAGGGGGGATCTTAAAAGGGAAAAATTTTTTTCCCCCAAAACTTTTTCTTACTAGGGATGTTTTACCCCCCAACTTCGCTTTTATGGCCAAATTTGTGTATTTTGCGGGCTTTGAAGGTGCATAACTCGGAAACAAGAGTTATTGCAAAAATTTTTTTTCTTGTTCTGCAATCAGGAGGCCTTAAAGAAGTACACTTCAGCAAAAGTGGTAAAAAACGTTCCCTGGTTGAACTTTTCAATAACGTTATGCAAAAAGCAGTCAAGTTTTTGCCAATGGGAGGTTCAAGTTCAGTGATAACCCAGAGACTCCGGACCGCTTCTTGTCTTTTTCCATTCGTTTCTGGTTTATATAGACGGCCGGAGAGATGCGCCCGACTCTAACCGACTCGTGTAACATTTCGCAATTTTACGAGTTGCCTCGTTATTGAACTATGTGCTGGTCGGGCGCAAAAACGCGGCCGCCTATATGAACCTCGAAAAGGCTGATAGAAAGGGAAGCGGTCCGAAGTCAGTGGGTTATTGGCATTGGACTTTCAATTTCGGGTTGTTCTCCGTTGTTGGGTCTTTATCCTATTGGCGAACACTTGACCGCTTCTTTTGTTGGAAGTTTAGCTTGAAGGGCTCATCAAAAATTAAAAACACACAAAAATTGGCATTTTTCTATTTTTTCTAGTGAATGCCCTCTATAACTCTTCTCTTTACAATATATTATTCGAAAAGTTTTCAATTTTTTAATGAATTCGAGTTGAAATTTCTAATCCTGGCTCTATCCTTATATCCTTATAAACTTATAGGCTTATAAAATATTCCACAATTCAGCAGATACAAGATTACTCTGAGGACTGAATAAATTTTTAAATGTTAAATGTTAAAAAAATTCTATAATTTCGGATTCTGATCCTTCCCAACGTCAGTCTGAGAAAGCCCAATTTTTTTTTTCGAATTTTTTTCTTCCCTCACAGACCTTGAGCACCTTCGTAGAACTTCTTTCCGGGTTCTGGCCATCAAAAGCCATGAACTTGACATCATACGGCGATTTCTGAGCCAACGATGGATCCTTGAGCTGGAGGACATAGAAATGAGGGTTGGGGACGAGGCGGAACAAGTCGGCATCGCTGATCATCTCCAGGCGAGGCTTATCTATGGAAATCGTGTTATACATATTGAAATAAGGCTAGTAATGAAAAAAAAACTTAGGAACTCTAGAGTGGTCCCTATGGAAGGCCACTTTAAGGGCCACTAAAGCTTGCAAAAGTGGTCCCTCCAGAAATTTTGGCGATATTTGTTATGAACTTCAAGCGGAAAAGCATTTCCATGAGAAAAACAGAATAAATAAGCTTTGTTTAAATAAAATTGAGAGACTCCTTTAGGGTTCACTTGAGCTTCAGGCGCAAAGGGGTCAGACCGTAAACCCCTATAGGGACCACTTTTCCACCCCTACAGAGACTGTTTTCCACTCTAACCACTAAAGGGACCACTCTGGAATTTCTAAGGAAGTCAAGTTTCCATTTTCGCTATAAATTTGCCTGAGACGTACTCCAGAAGCTCCTGATCAAATTAGAAAAATTTTTTTTCACAATTTTTCCATTTATTAAAGTTTGGATATCTCAAAACCCTTTAACGGACAGAAAATAAGATTTTGCAAGTCTTCAATGCTAATTAAAAGCCAAATTTGGGAAAAAAAAAATCCTTTTTCTTGGTTGGATCCCAAGCTCCCAAGCAAGCCAGAAAACTCGGAAATCTTTTATTCTTGCATCATTCTCACCAGAAGCCGAAGAATCAGCATCCGTTACAGATAAAACGGCCAAAGTTTTGCCGGCCGTGTCTTCTGGGCCAACCACGATGAATTTAGCGTCGGAGGGGTGGAATCTATGAAAAAAGCTAACTATAAACGCCAAGTTGACATTGATAAACTTGATGGAAATCTCCGGATCGTGTTGATTTCCCTGGAAGACGTCGACGAAAACGGTAAGTGTGCTGGAAAGTGGCGGACTTCCTCCATCGATTGCTTCGATTGTGATCGTACAGGAATCGAAGGGAGACTTTTTCAAGTCCTTCTGAAAAAGGAAACTTGAAACTAGGACTACAGACTCCTTTTATAAACTTCATTAAATTTATCTTGCGCTGATAAAAATAAATAAAAAGCTGAAAAAGCTGATCACCCTCAAGGCATCATTTATGAGACTCGAAACAGCGCGAATCAAATAAATATATATAATACTCTCGAATAATTTATTTTATGTATTCTTTCTCCAATATTCTTGTCATTTTTATCACTTCTTCGATGGTATATGCCATTCCGCGCCAGTTTGTCACGTTTTTCTTTCCGCCCCAGAAGGCCAGGTCAAATTTAACCAACTTTCGCTTCAAGACATTTGTTTCTTGCCGTTATAAAAGCAGAAATTTGATCTAATTTGGTATACGGTCTTTTTGGGGGAAAAAACGTGACAAGCTGGCGCGGAATAGACTATAGGAAAGAATTTTGGTCTGCAAATATCCGTGAGCGTTAATTGTGCATACACCAATCTAGGAGGCTCGAATCTTGGAGAGAGATTCTTGAAAATATTCACCTCCTTTCTCATTTTTTTTTTTCCCAGTTCACGCTCACGAAAATTCGCGGACCCAAAATTCCTTCCTACCACCATTTCTTCAAATATGAATAATTTGCAGCTTGATAAAAAAAATTATTTGAAACTCCTAACTTTGCTGATTCAGACGGCAGATAATGGTCAAGTCTCAAAAGTGATTTTGATAATAGTTCGTACTCTAATTTTGTCAATAAAATAATTCTTTCATTTATAATTTCACACCTGAGTTCCGAAAAATCCTTTAAATCCCTCCTTAATGTTTCCAAAAATTTTTTTACTTCAAATAAAACCATTTCTATTCGTAACATAATTTTCGAATAACTGGAAAATTTTTCTTCATTGTGTGGGTCAAATTTAAAATAAAAAAAACTTATATCACTTGTTTTCTACAAAATACTAAAAAAAAACACATCTACGGCTCAATAAAAAGTAGCCTAAGGAATAATAAACCATACATGCGATGACCATGACTGGCGTCAGCCAAGCCCCCTCCCCCTCCCCCCTTCCCCCACTTAAAGGCAAGCAATTGAGCCTTGAAAAAAATAAGCTGTTATTAATTTTTTTGTATCTCAATTTCGTTGTTGTTTTTTTGGACTCAGCACCATGGAATTAGTGTAGGACGACCATTGAAAATGTTTTTTTGCCAACCCCCCTTTATCGTTTTTTTGCCAAGTCCTCTCCCCTTTATCAGGTCCCACCGAGACTATCCCATGTATGTGATAAACCCACTAATTTATATTTTTGAAAAGTCAAAAAAAAACCGAAACATCTGTCCTAACACCATGAGACCCATAAAAAGCCCCATTCCATTTCACTCTTCTCACAAGAAAGTGGAAAAATAACAATTGGCAGGTGCACTTTGTGTATCTTCTCTTCCCCTCGCGCGGGCGCATGGAGACAGTTCACCTGGCCATATCTCAAGTGTCTTTTTCCCCTCACAAACAACACCTACTCATCCATTCATGCTGGAATTCAATATATCTATAGACAAACCAGGGAATGAAGTGCCCCATCGAGAAGGCCGAAATCGACGTCGTCGCAAGTTTCGCCAACGATACGGTAACTTATGGCGCCATTGCTGCCAGTGTCGTTGTCCGTCGCGTTGAGCCGATAGATTGGTGACGTCAGAGATCCTGGAAATCGAGCACTTGAAGGGCTACTTGACCTCTTGCTGTATAGATTTCAGTATGAGGAAGGAGAGAAAATCAGAATATTGCAGGTTGAAAATGGCAGCCCCAAATTTCATATACATTTTTCAGTTTCGAGAAGTTTCCGCTTAAAATTGGCAGTCCCAAATTTGGAACTGATTTTTCCCCTTCAGGGGCGGCATAGCTCAGCTGGCAAAGACTCATTTCTAACGTCCGCGAGGTCGTAGGTTCGAGTCCGTCCGAGGTCGAACAAGCCTTTCCTCCGGGGTAGATAAAATTGGGAGCTGCATACAGCGAAAATGCTCAATCTCATTGGAAAGCCGGCACCGTACTTCTTCCTACGACCTCTCTTGTACCTAATGTTCTATGAGCGAAATTCACAACTTCTCCGCCTAAGCCACAGCTTCCGTTTAAACCCAGTTAACTCCATAAACTGTAAAAAACTTTCAGTGGCCCCTATAGGGTTTTGACGTTTTAGTGGCCACTAGAGTAGTCAAATTAGTGGCCACTTAAGGGGCTGAAAATTAGTGGCCATGCTAGAGGTCTAAGTGCTATTACGAGACCACTAAAAACTTTAGTGGCCGCTTTAGGGATCAATAGATCAACAAAACTGGTCCAATCTGTTTGTTTTAAAATTATCAGAGTTACAGGAAGGAATACTGGATGAAAAACCACTGAAGTGGCCACTAGAGAACCTCTTTAGTGTCCACTAAAACGGAGAAGTAGTGGCCACTATAGAGGTGGGTTTAGTGGCCACTTTAGTGTCCCCTCCAAGTAGTCCTTCGCGAGCCTCTATAGTGGCCCCTAAAAATTTTTCCAGAAATTCGCTTACACATGTATTCTTACATTGAAGATGCAATAAACAGTTTTTTTTACCTTATAAAAATTTCCGCTTAAAAGTGGCAGTCCCAAAATTCAAACTGCTTCCCCAACTTTGTACGTAACATTCTTCAAAAAGTGGAAATTCAGAAAGTTGCTTTTCTCTCAACTTTATCATACTCAAGCGTTGAAAAAAAAAAAAACCAAAAAAATGAATTTCGTTGCGATTCCAACAATTCTCTTTGAAACACAATAAAAAACTCAAAAAAAGGCACTAAACCCCTAAATTTCAGAAAATTAGAGGAAAAAATTTGTGGTTGTGTTGAAGGGGGGTTCCTTTCCAAATTGCCATTTTATGGTGCATAATGACCGGTTTTAGGAGGGGATAGGTGTGCAAGCAATACATACACCGACCGAATCGTCCCCCAGCCAAGTGTGACCCTTTGTCCTCAGACCTACCTCTTTTTCATGTCCCCTTTATTGCTTCCGATGCGATGCCAATATGGTACGGGGGTTTGGCTTATTTAGAGGAGAAAATGGGGAGAAAAGCGGGATTAATGATGAAAGTTTCTTTTTTTTTCGAAAAATTTTGAGAAAAAAATACGAATTTTGGATCACTCTTTGAGAAAAGCACAATGAAAAAAACGGTTGTTTTAAAAATAATTTTTATTGAAACCAGAAGAAAATACTTTAAGGGCAACCAACCATCCCAATGAGCCGAAAAATGTCGAATTCCAAAACTCGGAGCATTATCATTTACGTCGAGAATTTCAACTACCAGCGTCGTCGTCGAACTTCTGAAAAATATATTTTAATGAGCTTTTTTTCTGTCTGAAGCTTCTTTGAATTATCAAAAAGGTTAAATATATTTTGAACTTCCGAAAGAGCCAAAAAAATAAATCGGACCCCGCTAATAAATCCCAAATCAGCAAGATTTTCCAGTTTGAAACCAAAAAATGACGGTTCCAGGTAATGAATGACCCACATCGGCAATGACGCATGGCCACGTGCCAAACCAACCGATTCCGGATTTTTTTTCTTGATGAATCAAGAATGGATGAATGACTTTTGAGAGAAATTGATATTGATAGGTTCAGCCTACTTTTTTGGAAAAATTGATTCTTTTTTCTTTAAAAAATTTTTTCAAAGCTTCTTGCAATTGAAACTTCCGAAATTTCGATTCAATGTGGTCCTGATTTTCAGAGCAGTCCTCTTTTTTTCTTGATTTTGAAGCCCTCCTGGGAAAACTTTCAGTGGCCCCTATAGGGTTTTGACGCTTTAGTGGCCACTATAGTAGTCCAATTAGTGATCATTTAAGGAGTTGAAAATTAGTGACCATTATAAAGGTCTAAGTGTAGACCACTAAAAATTATAGTGGCCACTTTAGGGGTCAATGGATCAACATAACCGGTTCAATCTGTTTGTTTAAAAATTATCAGAGTTACTGGAAGGAATACTGGATGAAAAACTACTGAAGAGACCACTAAATTCAGACCTCTATAGTGGCCACTAAAACGGGAAATAGTGGCCACTATAGGGGTGAGTTTTGTGGCCACTTTAGTGTCCTCTCCAATTAGTCCTTGGCGAGCCTCTACAGTGGTCACTAAAACTTTTCCAGTCTTGCCCATTTTCCGTTGAGAAAATGATTTCAAAAATATCTCAAAACAGTTTTTCGGAGACACCTTATAATTCACTAAAAATATGAAAAATTATACGCTCGTAATTCCTTTTTTCGACAGAGCTCATAAGCCTCAATAAAAAAATCGAAACTTGACCACTTTCTCTTTTTTTAAAGGCTCTAAATCCCCTAAACCACCCACCCCCCAACTTTTTAAAGCTCATCCGAAACCTACAAAACCCAAAATTTCCTCAACCATGCGGGGTGCCAGGCTTACACATGGTTACCGACAGCAAATTGAGCAAGTGAGGCGCCGTCCGTAGCGAGGACAAGGTCATTCCCGAAAATCACCCCGAAAAAAATATGGGATTTCCAATCCAATATTCCTCCGTCAGAAGGTGCTAAATGGCATTCCCCGGGTTTCCAAGAGGGAAAATGAGGTTTTTTCCACTCGTTCTCACCTTGACAGGCTCTGACGCATGTTTGACCTGTTGATGGTCTCCGCGAAACGCGTGCTATTTCCTAGGCGCGATGAGTTGCCAATCGCAAACAATTGCCGAATAATTCCATTATTGTGGCCGTCGGCGGCGTGTGATACACACAAAGATTTGCGCGCGCGCGGCACCGGAAATGATTGCTTTATGTAAATTTGGGCAGGTAAAGGTGTTCGGAGAAGTGAGGGTGATTTATAGAAGCTGTTCTGAAGCTATGAAACGTGTAAAAATGAGCAAAAATTGACCTTAAGGCTATTGATAAAGCTCCAAAATTTGGGACTGCCATTTTTTCTAGGTAGGTCCAATATATGTAAATGTTTTGGCTCGTCGTGGAAAGCCATTTCGTACCGATGTTGTTAAAAAATCAATCCAAAAGTCCTTTCCGGAGAGTTGAAAATCAAAAATCTAAAAATTCCCTAAAATCTCAAGTTCCAGAGAAAAACGCTCAAAAAAATCTCAAAACTATTAAAAAAATCTACTGAAGTTCATGACATTATAAAAAAAACTTCTTAAAAACCTTCTGGCAAAATCGAGAAAATTTATTTTTAGAAAAAAATATACAGAACGGCTCGGAAAGAGCTCAACAAGCACTACAAAAATTCAGACACGCATAAAAAAGAAGATTTTTTCAGAAAGCTTCACAGACAGCCTGGGAAAATTTTTAGTGGCCACTATAGAATTTTGACGTTTTAGTGGTCACTATATTAGTCAAATTAGTATCCACTTTAGGGGTTAAAAATTAATGGCCACTTTAGGGGTCAATGGATCAACGTAACTGGTCCAATCTGTTTGTTTAAAAATTATCAGAGTTACTGGAAGGAATACTGGATAAAAAACTACTGTAGTGGCCACTAAAACGGAAAATAATGGCCATTGTAGAGGTTGGTTTAGTGGCCACTTGAGTGTCCTCTTCAAGTAGTACTTGGCGAGCCTCTATAGTGGCCACTCAACTTTTTCCAGGAAAGTTTGGGACTGCCATTTTTTTGTTGCTAGGAATTTTTGGGAGTGCGCTAAACTTAAGTTTATTGAAAAAAACTGTGTCGTTTAGTTTAAGCACCTATTTTTTTCAAATATAAACTTTTTTTAGGCTTAAAATTACAGAAATGGTCTGAAAAAAATTCGAATTTGGATGTTTTTTTGCTATTCACTTCGAAATTTTGTAATCAAACTAAACTTCAACTTTTTACGTATCAAAGCAAAAAAACAACAGAAACTAATAAATTGATGAATTCGCTTTTTATTAAATTCAATTTTTTTATATTAAAAAAAACTCACAAAGAAGGCGTTCCCCCATCAGAAGCCGTCAAATTAAACGCGTAAGTCGCTTTTATTTCTCGGTCCAAGCTTTGGCGAACTTCCAGGAATATTTGATCGTCTTCTCGAACCAGAATAAAGGTCTCATCAGCTTCTCCAAAATCCACAGAAATCAGGGAATATTCGACAATTGTGCCATTCAGGCCAGAATCAGGGTCGAATGCAGAAAGTAATGAAGTCCTGGAGCCGATCGGAGAAGTCTCAGCGATCGAGATTTTCTGAAAATCAAACTATTTTATTTTTAAATAATAGTTTCCACCTGAACTGCCGCCGGAAAAATGGGCGCATTATCATTAATATCATCGATGTGGATATGGACGTGGGTTATTGAAGGTACCGCGGAAAGAACCAAAAGTTCTTCAGATTCAAGTTCTTCTCGGTCCAGTGGGGATTTCACTCGGACCTGAAAAAAGAATCTATCATTAAAAAAAATCTCACATTATCATAAATGATAAAAAAATACCTCAAGACTTTTTCGGATCGAAATCAAAACGATGACTGTTTTTTTCGCAAGTCGATAAGGTATTTCATCATCTAGAGGAAGTTTTGCAACGATTTTACCAATCGGAGCATCTGAAAAATGAATATTAATCAATTTTATAAATATATAAACAATTTAGAATTTTTCACAGTTTGTTCCTTTTTACTTTTTCTGTTTTATTAAAACAGGATCTCCTGCGACAATCCGAGGTAAAAATCTTGGCTTTTTGCCCGAATAAAGACGGCTTCCGACTCGATTTTGCCCATCGGATCGGATTGCGCAAGAAAAACCGCACCTTCTTCCACAAATTATACCGGTTGTGGGATGGGGCACGTGTGAAATTGTAATTTTCACACGGAGAGTCTACTTTTTGCCATGGGCGTAAAAAATTCGGAGAAAAGGCCTATTCAGAATATATTCTGAATAAAATGTATATTATGAACAAATGCAAGTTCTCTTCTGAAATCGCGCAGTTGATATTTGATACTATAATAAAAAAAATATCATTTTAAAATTATTTGAAAAAACAAAAAAAAACTTTTCTTTTCAGTTTTTAAGAATCTGCATACAGAACGCTTCACGGCCATTATACATACCGTAGTCGAAAAAAAAGCATTTTTTCTCGAAAATATTTAATGAATTCATTATCACCTTCAGAAATATGATATTCAAGAGTATTTTCAACAAATGAACTGCAGGTGCGGACGTTTGCAAGCAACAGTAGCAGCGGAACGATAAAATTCATCAATTTCGCATTGATTCTGTAAAAACGATCGTCTTGAAATAAAGTAGGCTAAATCCCGATTGAAATCCAATTAAAACGGAATGAAACAAGGTGTCGGAGCGGAAAATAAGCGATAGCGATCGGGCAGCAAGAAAAGGAACAGCCGGCAAATATTATTGCAAGTTGGGCCCGACGGCGGATTTTCAGCGTCCCAAAATCGTATCTCGCCGCAACATCTCCAAGGAGGAAACTCAACGACTGGAACGAAGGTTTGCGTGTCTTGGGAAACTTTTTCTTTTTCGAGGCAACTATTAAAGAGTGGTTTCGGGTGTTTTGGCCGTGGCATGGTGGTTGACAAGTGGAGGAGGGAGGTTATAATGAAGTATTTGAGTGGATTTTAGAGTTGTGAGTTGAAAAAAGGAGGTAAAATGTTTAAACGAATACAGTTTTGATAAATTAAAATGTTTATTCTTGATTTTTCTTGAGTTTTTTGAAGAAAAGGTACTCGAAATGATACAGGAAACGGCTTGGAATCGTGTTTTCTCGAGAAAAAAAAAACCAATTCTCTTTCCTAGGAGATTGATCAGTAGTTGTATTTTCGATAGTAAGTTTAAATTTCAAGGATAAATTGATGAAAACCCAAGAAATTTGCAGAACGAATGATGAAAACCAGTTGAAGGATCTCAGTTTCGCAAAACAAGTTCATAAGAATAGCAAAATAAGTTTTAAATTGAATTTTGAAAAGGCTAGTTATAAGCCATTCGTTGCACATGGAAAATTCCAAACCCAAGAAAAAAAGGTCAAATTGAAACATTGGTCCAGATCCCAAGCGGCTTCCGGTCATCAACCGGTAGGATCATCGAACTGTCCGACGTCGTCGGCTTGGATTTGCATTTTGCGGGGCGGCACAAGGCCGCGACGGCTCCGCCCACCGCGACGGCGCGACACCTGCGTCGCCATGGCGAACGTGAAGCTCCGACAGGTGTTCGCTTTTCCCTTTTTTCGTCGTGATGGAAGGCTTTTTGGAAGCTCACACCTGCTTCTTAGTGCTTTCTTGAAGAGAAGTGGTAATAGGGAAAATGAGGGGGGTAGGCTCAAAAATTCTATGATTTTTTTCAAATGAAGGTCATGACAATTTTAGCGTGTTATGTGCTAGATGAAGAACCTGCAAAAATTCTAGAATTTAAAAAAATTTTTTTCTAGAGCTTGTACAAGAGAATCAAGCTACCATTTTCCAAGAATGTCATTTTCTACGATTCCTTAGAAAGTTCATGTTGGGATTTTCCTGAAAAATGGCCAGAACGCTCCGAAGAAGATTCTAGAAGTCTCAACCTGCCCAACTCCCTTGTTTTTGAGAAAAGACGGCCAAAACAATCTAGGCTACATTGAGCTTTAAGCCCTTATTTCTCGAAAACTAGAAAGTTGTGCAGGTTGAGACTTTCAGGATCTTCATCTGGTACATCAAGGAGCGTTCTGGCCAATTTTCAGGGAAATCCCAAGAGTAAAATGACCTCCTTGTGGGTTTTTGAAACTTGTGAAGCTTGCAGAAATCTTTGGTGAATTTATGAGCCAAAATATCTTCTAGTCTATTCATAGCAGTGTAAAAACATTATCTAAGAGATGAGCTTGATGCTCGATACCGAGTAAATCCAATGAAATCCGCAAAAAGTTGATTAGCAATGGGGCGAAGGTGCGTGTGACCTTGTCGCTGCCGAGATGTTTCTGTGATTTCACACACAACTTTTTTTTCATTTTATTTTTCGCGTCCGTTCGTCTGTCGGCACCCCGTATTGTTAATGAGCGGACAGGTCGAGTGTCGGGGCCAATTTGAACGACAACCGCACGCCTATTTAGATGCGCGACGAGGTGGTTCACCGACAATTGCCTCGGGTCCTCCCAAAAACGGTCCGCTTTCTCGAGAGTTTGATGGAAAGGGGACACAGAACAAAAGTTTTCCGACGGAAGAGCTTTGAATGCATATTGGAAAACAGAAAAAAGATCAATCAATTGTTTATTTATTTTTGTCGTAGATGTAATGGACAAGTCGATGAGCACGATCTTTCTGAGCCTTGTAGAACAACCGCTTTAACGAACCAGAAGTCCAGACGTGAAGTTGATCAAGTTGAATCAAGAAGTCCAGAAGTGCCGTGGATCAAGTCGAAATCAAGAAGTCCAGAAGTACAGTTGATCAAGTCGAATCAAGAAGTCCAGACGTGTAGTTGATCAAGTCGAATCAAGAAGTCTAAACGTGTAGTTGATCAAATCGGATGAAGAAGTCCAGAAGTGTAGTTGATCAAGATAAACGGAGAAGTTCAGAACTGAAGTTGATCATGTCGAATCAAGAAGTCCAGACGAGTAGTTGATCAAGTTCAAAGCATGGTCTTACAGTCCCTTGCCTCGTTCTTCTGCGGTTAGTTCATTCAGTTCCACCTTGACGAGCTCAGAATGTAGAGGATGATGTTCTGGAGCCTGGAGACCGTTCTCGAGGTGGAATATCTTGATCGCGAAAATACTTCGGATTTTCGATGCTTGAAGAAAAGAAATGTTGAAAGAGGTATTTTTCCATTTTGAAGCTTGTATAATCTAGGGACCGCAAAGCCACGCCCCTTTTCGCGATAGAAAAAGTGGCTTTTTTTTGGTTTTCAATTTTAATTTTGTTGTAGTTGCAAAATATGTGGAACTAGCTTATAAAATTTGACACACTTGTACAGAAAAAGCTTCCTCTTTCATTTTAAAAAAATATTTCACGCTTTTTTTGATGCGTTCTCGCGGAATGTCGTACAAAAAAACGTGAATGGGACTAAAAAAATTTTTGTCGTTTTTTTGCTTTTTTTCATGTGTTTTTCAGGTCGAACGCACTCTTTCTTTTTTTAAATAATGATTTTTGATTCAAGTAACGGTAATTTTAAAGCAATAAAATAAAAAATTCGTCTTTGCCAAAAATTTTAGGGAGTGCCGAAAGTCATAATTCAAAATATCGTTAATAAGCGAATACAATCGAGTTTTTGTTTTTTCAAAATTTAGATCATGGTCTTACTTAAATTTTTCTCCACAGCACCTGTGCTTGAAAAAGTTGTTTAATACGCAAAAAAATGCTCTTGAAACTAGAGAAAAAAATTAGCGGCGTTTATCACACAGAAAAACGGTCGAACGCAGGTTTTTTTAAACGATTATATACATTTATTAGTAAAAAAATCTTTCAATTAAAAAGAATAAAATAAAAAAATTCGTCTTTGCCAAAAAAATTTACGGGGCCGTTTTAATGAAGCGATCGTTAAACGAGGCAAAAAAAGCACTAAAAAAACAGTTTTTTTCGAAGTGAATTTCCACGAAAAAGTTTTTAGTGAAGATTTGCGAAAATATTTTTGATAAAAAAATAGCTTAATTACTTCAAATTTCTATTTTTTTGATATAGGCAATCTGTGCTATCCAAACGGCTCAAGGGTATGGCGGATGGAAGCTCCCCGGGTTGCACCTAACAGCTTGGCGCAGCGCGTGCGATGCGATTTTTCATTTTGAGGTCGCGAGTTCGATGCCCGCAAGCGGCAGTTTTTTTGTTTTCTGGAAAATAGCGACTTTTTCGGCAAACTAGCTGATTAGCATCATTTTAGCACTCTTTTTATGATTTTTTTACATTATAATAGACCAGTATCAAAAGTTGTTCTGGAAGAAAAATCGAGAAAAATGTCAAAAATGGATAATACCAAAATTTCAGTACTAAAAAAATGGTGCGCGGCGCGCCACATTTTCCGTCATAAATTTTTTCATCCTCAATCTTTTTTGAAAAACTAAACGGTTCTGAGTTTTGAATCGGAACAGCTATCAAACCATACAAGGCTCAATGCTGAAAAAAAATTTTTGAAAATTCGACTGCGGTCCCTAGTATAATCTAACCAGGGAATGGTCTCAGCTCACTGTGGGACTTCCGAAAGAGACCATATTTTCTAGATGTAGTTTTTCACGCTGATTCCAAATCCGTTTTCAAAAGTTGCCCAGTCCGCCGCCTTTCCACTGCTCCTCGCTGCCGTTGCTTCAACAGCCGTCAGATCGTAATAGGACACCGCGCGCGCATTCTCTTGTGTGCGGTGGGGCTTTGAAAGCTCATATATTGGCTCATAAACATTTTTTGAAAAAATTTGATGGTTTATCGTGACAAGGGAAACAGGGACTATGTACCTTCTAAAAATGAGCTCGATCGGAGACTATGAAATTTTCGACTTTTGAGGGTCCATAACTTTTTTCACAGATCTCGGTGGCAACTTTTGAAAACGGATTTGGAATCAGCGTAAAAAACTACATCTAGAAAATATGGTCTCTTTCGGAAGTCCCACTGTGAGCTGAGACCATTCCCTGGTAAGCCATTATTTTGAATAGAAAGTTGAAAATTGGAAGTTCCAGGCTTATGGCTTTTCGTCTCATTTTTATAGCGTAGGAAACGCCAATTCCTTCAAACTTCGATGAATTGTTATAAGGTTCCCCTACGGTTTTTTGGAAATATTCAGGATTCAACTCAAAAATACTTGCAGATAGTGAATAATTGTTTTTTTCCAAAGATTTTTCTGTTTTTTTTTGATTTCATTCACATTGATTGATGGTTAATGGGAATGTACAAATTTTTCTTATCTTCATTTTATTTTTCGACCATTCACTAGTCATAAATGATTTTCAATGAAGAAAAAAAGGGAAGTTTTCAAAAAACCCTTCTTTTCCAATCGATTACGGCGCGTGAAGAAAGGCCTTTATACTCGACTTTAACTCAATTATTATAAGGTTCTTAAGAAGCAAAAAACAAAAATATGAGCTTTTATGTGTTCGAAAAGACTTGTTGGATGTGGGAAATTGTGAAGAATTGGCTGTTTTACCAGTTTTAGTTCCTGATTGTCATTTCAAACATCAATTCTAGCTTTTTCTTAAAAACTGAACGGATGTTCATATTCACTTTTTAATAATATTAATTTTGAAGATTTATCTGTTCTAATTCAAGTGGCCACTTTAGGGCTTTCACCTTTTAGTGGACACTTTAGAAGTCTAAGTGATCACGGTGTTTTTTTCATTACGCAAGGTCAATACTTTTCGTAAATTATGATGCTTAGGGTGTAAGCACACCGAGACGCACTATCGCATACTCAAAATGTTTTTTTTCAATTTAGAATTTGCGATTTCAGAATAATAGCTCCTGAAATGTTCGAAATTTGTCATTTTGAAGAATATGATGTGAAAAAAACATACACTTACGTTAAAAAAAAAAACATTTAGAAACGATTTCGAAAAGGGGAAAAACTCTAAATTACTGATTACAAAATAAAAAAACAAAAAAATATTATAGGGTGAATCAGCTCCCATTGAATAAGCATTTATAAATACGAAAAATATCGAAATGAGGAAAATTCGAGGAGCAAATGAAAAAAAAACATTTTATATACCTCGAAAACCTAGCTTTAGAAAAACAAATAATGGATAGAAAGCAGAAATTTTAGAAAAAAAACCTCGTATGGCGAAATTTTTGTTTAAATCCGAAAAACCATCAAAAAACTAGAAAAAAAAATATAATTTAGATGATGCATATATCAAAATCATTAAACTGCATCAGCAAATTCAATTTGGCTCTAACTTACACGAAACCGGTTTCAAACTACGTCAAAGGAACTAGATAATAACTTTTTTTATTATTGACTGATTAAATTAAAAAAACTATAGTTTCCGAAATAGAGTGATTATTTTTCATGTCGCGAAACAGATTTCAAAAATTTTTTTAAAAAAATTAGGACTTTTTAGAAAAAAATCTTCAACTCTTTTGCGAAAAAAGTTAAAGATCTGAAACCGGTTTAGAAAAGTGCACAATTTAAAGCTTCACAAGATGTACCCATAGAGAGGCGGATCACATAAATGCAAGAAATAGAAAAAAGTAAAAAACCAAGGAAAAAAGTGAAGAAATTCAATTTTTGCATTAGAAACCATGA